CTGGAGCAGGAATTGTTTTGTCTCCCTGCTCTGTGCACAGAGCTCACCATCCCTGAATGTGAACCCAGACCCACACACTGAAGCAGCACAGAATGTGAAAAATAGAAAAGCTCAAACCTGCAGTTTGTGGTAGGAGCAGCATTTCTGGGCTTTTTGCTATTAAATGCACCCTCAGGATTTCTCAGAGACAATGTGGATCCGTCCATCCATGGTCAGGGAGCTCTGGACAGTGCAGATCTCTGCCAGCCTTCATCAGGGCTCTGTTTTTGGTGGTTTCTTGGCTCACCATCCCATGATGTGAACCCAGACCCACACACTGAAGCAGCACAGAACGTGAAAAATAGAAAAGCTCAAACCTGCAGTTTGTGGTAGGAGCAGCATTTCTGGGTTTTTTTGCTATTAAAAACCAGCCTCAGGATTCCTCAGAGGATCCATCCATCCATGGTCAGGGAGCTCTGCACGATGCAGATCTCTGCCAGCCTTCATCAGGGCTCTGCTCTTGGTGTGCTCTTGGCTCCCCATCCCATGATGTGAACCCAGACCCACTAAAGCAGCACAGAATGTGAAAAACAGCAAAGCTCAAACCTGAGGCATGGTTTCCACATGAAATCCCTGAATTCCCTGATTCCACATGGAATCTTTCCCTCAGGAGTTACCCTGGGACACCTCCCTGCTTCCCCAGGGCCAGCCCTGAGCTTGGTCCTCAGCCCAGGTGCCAGGTGAGGCACTCTGGAAATGCCGGGGATCTTCAGAAATGACCAAAAAAACCCCATTTTTTCCCCAATAATCTGTTTAATCATTTGGGCAATGATAAAACCATTTGGACAATGGGACACTGGCCCAGGATGAACCTGGGTTTTTCTGGGGGTGTGAGGCTGGGAGCTCTCAGCTGCCAGCACTTCAGGCAACCCCTGGAATATTTTGGCCGTAAAAGGCCAATCTTGCCTGGTTTCACTAGAAAACAGTTTAATATTATATTATTTTTTGGGATTAGTCACTGCTCTGCCTAGAGGGATGTGTTTCACTGCTGTCCCCAGGAGTTTGTGAGTAGAAGTTGAATTTTTTCCTGTTTCTGTGCTATTTTACCTCTGATTATTCTGTGTTTTCCAGATGGCTTTAAGGAATTTAAGGAATTGTAGAAGTTGAATTTTTTCCTGTTTCTGTGTACTTTAACTCTGAGTATTCTGTGTTTTCCAGATGGCTTTAAGGAATTGTAGAAGTTGAATTTTTTCCTGTTTCTGTGCACTTTAACTCTGATTATTCTGTGTTTTGCAGATGGCTTTAAGGAATTATAGAAGTTGAATTTTTTCCTGGTTCTGTGCTATTTTAACTCTGATTATTCTGTGTTTTGCAGATGGCTTTAAGGAATTTAAGGAATTGTAGAAGTTGAATTTTTTCCTGTTTCTGTGCACTTTAACTCTGACCATTCTGTGTTTTCCAGATGGCTTTAAGGAATTTAAGGAATTGTAGAAGTTGAATTTTTTCCTGTTTCTGTGCTCTTTAACTCTGACCATTCTGTGTTTTCCAGATGGCTTTAAGGAATTATATTGAGGAATGTAAATTCCCCCCAAAGCCAGATGCTGTTTGTCGATATCAGCAGTGCCATGGCTACTCCAAAATCCAAATATATTTTACAGACCCAGACTTTAAGGTAAATTTTCAGTTTGAAAAGTGAAACTTGATCTATTTTCTGCCCCTTTTTATATGGTGTGCTAAGCTCAGCACTGCTTTTTGTTGTGGTTTGATTTAAAAATGTTCAATTTTTGCCACTTTTAGGGTTTTATACGTGCTATCTGCTGTCAGCAGTGTAGAGTGGAATTCCACATCAGCTGCTGGAAAAAGCTGAAAACAGCGAGCTACAGTGATAAAAATGATAAGGTGAGGCCTTTGCCACGCTGCAATTTTTAATTTTTTTTAAGATCATAGCATTGAGATATGTCAAGGAATTCCACAAAATTCTGCAGCCAGGATAAAATGAAGGGAAATCTGGAACTCCTAAAATTACTCTGGAAGTTTTGGGTGTGAGGTTGGAGGAGGGAGTCCAAGAATAAAAAATGCCACAGATTTTCCATGATTTTTGATTTTCTGCCCATCCCAGGAAGAGTTTGGGGTTGTGTTTGGTCACCTCAAATTGAGGAATTAATTTGTGCAGGGGTATAAATGATGTGTGGATTTAATTGCCTCTGTCGTGTGTGTCCTTTTCTCCTGCAGGATTTCCTTAAGGAAATGTGTTTTACTCCTGATTGTAAAGGCCTTATTTCCAAAATAGTTATTTTCAGTCCTCCTGGGGTGGTAAAATGTGAAGTAAGTACGGTCATGTTTTATGTGAAATCAATTGGAATGTTAATGGGGATAAAGTGAAAATGAGGATAACTGCAAAAATAAAAAAAAAGAATTCAATAATCCATCAGGAATCGCTCCCTGAGGCACAGGAAAATGGAGAATTCTCCCCAGAATTATGAATTCTCCCCAGGGCAATACTGACCTGAGAGAAGCAGAAATGATTGTGGGGTTTGTTTTGCCATAACCCGAATTGAATTCCTGTCCTGTCCCTTGTTTTGGCAGTTTGAACAAAAAATCCCAAAACTGAAGGAACCCCCAAGGGCCTGTATAAAACAGAAATGCACCAGGTAAGATTTGTCCTTTTTTAATTGATTTGAGAGCAAAGCAGGAGGGGTTTTCCTGCCTTTTCACAAATATTTTGGAAAGTTATCCTTGCCCTTTGCCTGATAAACCAAAAAAATTTGGTAAAATCCAATATAATCCAGTGGTAAAAGGATTTAAATTGTCCCACAGAATTTATTCTGTGTGAATGTTTAGAAAGTGTAAATAAAAATGCATTTTATGCTGCTGCTTTAGTTATTGATACTCAGATATTTCATATAACTGAGTTGGCAATTTTTTTGGTCAATTAACCTTTAAATAATGAGGAATTAAGCTGAGAGGACAAACAAAACAGATTTTTAAAAATGAAATGAATAAAATGTTAATATTTGGTTGAAAATGCTGAGTTATAAATTAAGAATAAGAATATTGGAGCCAATCCTAATTTAAACATCTTTAGTGGGAGTAAAAGTTGGCACAACTTGAGAAAATCAATATTTTAATGAATTTTTGTGCTCTCTGCTCCTAAGTGAAGACCACTTCCATTGCATTTGTACTTTCCAGTGTGATGTTTAATTTAAACATCTTTAGTGGGAGTAAAAGTTGGCACAACTTGAGGAAATCAATATTTTAATGAATTTTTGTGGTCTCTGCTCCATAGTGAAGCCCCCTTTTACTGCATTTGTACTCTCCAGTGTGATTTTTACCCCTCAATTAACCTTTTCGCAGCCTCAGGAACATCAAGATAAAGCAAGAAAAGAAGAAGTGGCGAAAAGAGGCGCGAGCGAAGGCCGGGAGCTCGGCCAGGAGGGAGGCTGAGGAGGAGCAGGAGGGGCGCGAGCGGCCCCAGGGCGGCCAGCACAGGGGTGGGTGACGGTGGGGACTGGGCTGGGGGCCCATGGGAGGGGGAGCTCTGGGGGCTCTGGGGCAGCTCTGGGGGCTCTGGGGGCTCTGGGGCAGCTCTGGGGCAGCTCTGGGGCAGCTCTGGGGGCTCTGGGGGCTCTGGGGCAGCTCTGGGGCAGCTCTGGGGCAGCTCTGGGGGCTCTGGGGCAGCTCTGGGGCAGCTCTGGGGCAGCTCTGGGGGCTCTGGGGCAGCTCTGGGGCAGCTCTGGGGGCTCTGGGGGCTCTGGGGCAGCTCTGGGGCAGCTCTGGGGCAGCTCTGGGGCAGCTCTGGGGGCTCTGGGGCAGCTCTGGGGGCTCTGGGGGCTCTGGGGCAGCTCTGGGGCAGCTCTGGGGTCCCGGGAGCTCCGGGCTGGGACAGGGCGGGGTCAGAGCTGGGTTGGGTGATCCTGGAGGGAATTTCCAGCCCCGGATCTCCGGGGGTTCTGGGGTTCTGAGCCCAGATTTTCTGGGGTTCTGGGGTTCTGATCCCAGTTTCCCTGGGGTTCTGGGATTCTGATCCCAGTTTTTCTGGGGTTCTGATCCCAGTTTCCCTGGGATTCTGGGGTTCTGATCCCAGTTTCCCTGGGATTCTGGGGTTCTGATCCCAGTTTTCCTGGGGTTCTGAGTCAGCACAAAGCAGTGGGATCAGCGTTCTGAGCATCCCCAGCTCAGTCCCAGCAGAATCCTCACACTGAGCGTCACCCCCTGTGAGAAATTGGCATTTTTACCGTTTTTACTTCAGACAGATTTTATTTCACTTCTGGTTTTGTTGCTGGGGGATGTTCCCGTGTGTGGCTAATAATTGTTGGGGTCCCAGGATGAGGTGAGAGATGAGAATTGACTCCAAGTTCTCAGAAGGCTGATGTACATTACATTACATTACATTACATTACATTACATTATATTATATAATGTTATATTATATTATACCATAGCATATCATAGCATATTATAGCATATTACATTATATGATAGCATATTATATGATAGCATATTATATTATAACATGTTATATCATTTATATAATTTATATTATTTATTATATTTATTATATTACATTGTGTATATATATTACATTATAGTATAGTATATAATATACTATGCTATAATATATATATTATAATATACATATATATAATATATATAATATATATTATATAATATATATAATATATATAATATATAGTATATTAATAAATATAATTTATATATTATAATAATAATTTATATATTATAGTATGTTACATTTATTATAGTATATTATATTTATTATAGCAATTTATATTATATTATATTGTATTACATTACATTACATTATATTATATTACATTATAGTATATTATATTTATTATAGCAATCATAATTATATTATATTTATTATAATTATATTAATTATATTCTCTTTATTATAACTATGTTATATTTATCATATTTGCTAATATAATATAATATAATATAATATAATATAATATAATATAATATAATTTAATGTAATATAATGTAATATAATGTAGTGTAATGTAATGTAATGTAATATAATGTAATGTAATGTAATATAATATAATATAATATAATATAATATCATATAGCACTAAAACTGTACTAAGGAAAGAGAAAGGAGACATCAGAAGGCTCGAAAAGAATAAATAATAAAAATCTGTGATTGACCAGAGTCCCAACACAGCTGGACTGGGATTGGTCATTAATTAAAAACAATTCACATGGAACATCTAAGATGCACCTGTTGGTAAATGATCTCCAAACCCCTTTCCAAGCACTCAGAGAATTATTGTTTACATTTCTTTTCTGAGGCTTCTCAGCAGAAAAATCCTGGTGAAGGGATTTTACATAAAATGTCCCAGTGACAACTGTGGGGTTTCATTCCTGTCTGATTTAATTCCTTGTACAAAACCTCAATTTTCCCTTGGCTGGTTCCTGCAGGGTCGGCCTGGAGCGGGGAAAGGCTCCAATTCCGAGTGAACCCTTTGGAAAGGGATGAACCCGTTGGAAAAAGCACCTGGGGACCCTGCTAGAGAAAAAAATATCTGAAATAAAGACAGAGGGGTCTTGAAAAGTACATTCCAGATGATTGGGGAAAATAAAAACATTTCAGTCTGTGGCTCTGAAGGCATTTAAAGCTTCCGCTTTTCCTTGCTGGATGTTGGCTGCTCCACAGTGCAGAGCTGGGAATTCCCTGCAGCTTCTCAGGGCACAGGAAAAAGGGGGGATTTTGGGAAATTTATATTGGGTCTGTATTATCAATTTGGGATGTAATTAATTTATCATTTCCCAGGATTCCCTGTTGAATACTCTGGGTGTATTTTTTCAATCCCATGCTTGGTGTTCTCTGGGTACCCATTCCCTGTTTGATGGCATATCCTGGAAATTTGGGAGATTTTGGCTTCCCTGTGAATTTGTATATTACTATAATTATAATTTATTGTTATTATCATTATTATTATTATTATTGTTATTGTTATTGTTATTGTTATTGTTATTATTATTACTATTACTATTACTATTACTATTATTACTATTATTATTACTATTATTATTACTATTGTTATTGTTATTTCATTTATTTCCTGTTTGTTTTGTTTTCAGTCTTTGCTCTCTCCTCTCCTCTGGCTCATCTTTACTTGTGATCCTTGGAGCCACTGCAGGTCACTGTGACCTCATCCTTAAATCTGGGCAAGGAGTTTGCTCCTTTAAACAAAAATTTAAATAAGCATTGGATCAAATTCCTAATTCTCAGGATGTATGGAAAAAAAGAATTCTTTAAATCCTGTAATTCTCAGTGTAAAACAATTGCAAACACCACTTAAATTATCTGTACTTTTTAAGTTGGTTTTTGAAGGTTTTTGAGCTTTTTAAAGTTTTTGAGCTTTTCAAAGTAGCTTTTTTAGTTGGAATTGTGGTAAGGACAATGAAATCCTGCCGGTTTTGTGCTTTTGAAATTGGAATATTTTGACTTTTCCAGGTCCTGGCCAGGATTTGTACGCCGGGGACCAAATCCTGCAGCACATCCGGCGCAATTCCGAGAAGATCAAAGCCGCTGTCCCCGACACTGCCAAATTATTGAAGGAGTTGCTGGCCTGGGGGGTGATCGGAGAGGAGGATTTCAGCTCTTATTCCCAAATCCACGCTCCCCAGGAGGTGCTGGAGCGGCTGCTGAGCTCCGTGATCCAGGAGCGGAGCCGGGTGCGGAGCCGGGGCTTCCTGCACGTGCTGAGCCAGCTGGGAGAGGCGGATGCCAAAGTGCTCAAGTGGCTGCAGCACCTGGATCACCGCGGTGGGTTCTGGGCACAGGAAATTCTCCTTTTTCCTCATTTGGAACTGCAATTTAAAACTTCTCCTCTTTGTCCTGTCCCTGGTTTACTGAGGGGAACAAAACCAGGGTGCCTCAGGAGCTCGGCAGGGATTTGGCAGAGAAAATTCACTGATTCAATGGCCTTAACATTCCAGCATGGGTTTAACTGCTGATATTTGTAGCAATAATCTGGTTTTGGAGAGTTAATAATGGGGTTTTGCCGTTAATCTTGGACATCATTTCGTGTTGGTGCTCTGCAGTTTCATGTTGAGTTTATAATTCTGCAGCTGGGAGAGGCGGATGCCAAAGTGCTCAAGTGGCTGCAGCACCTGGATCACCGCGGTGGGTTCTGGGCACAGGAAATTCTCCTTTTTCCTCATTTGGAACTGCAATTTAAAACTTCTCCTCTTTGTCCTGTCCCTGGTTTACTGAGGGGAGCGCAGCCTGGGTGAGCCAGGAGCTCGGCAGAGAAAGTTCAAAAATTTTAAATTTTAAAATTCCAGAATGGGTTTAAATGCTGATGTTTGTAGCAATAATCTGGTTTTGGAGAGTAAATAATGGTGGGTTTTGCCCTGAAACTTGGAATTAATTGTGTATTGCTGCGCTGCAGTTTCCTGTTGGGTTCTGGGAGCACAGGAAATTCTCCTTTTTCCTCATTTGGAACTGCAAAGTGAATCTTCTCCTCTTTGTCCTGTCCCTGGTTTCCAGAGGGGAACAAAACCAGGGTGCCTCAGGAGCTCGGCAGGGATTTGGCAGAGAAAATTCACTGATTCAATGGCCTTAACATTCCAGCATGGGTTTAACTGCTGATATTTTTAGCAATAATCTGGTTTTGGAGAGTAAATAATGGGGTTTTGGCATTAAACTTGGAAGCAATTTCATGTTGGTGCTCTGCAGTTTGCTGTTGGGTTTATAATTCTCCAGCTGGGCGAATTACAAGCACACGAAGTGCACAAGTGGCTGCAGCACCTGGATCACCGGGGTGGGTTCTGACAGCACAGAAAATTCTCCTTTTTCCTCCTTTGAAACACCAAAGTAAAACTTCTCTTTGTCCTGTCCCTGGTTTGCTGAGGGGAACACAGCCTGGGTGACCCAGGAGCTCAGCAGAGAAAATGCCAACAGTTTTTAAATGGTGTTAAGATTCCAGAATGGGTCTAAAAATTGAACAATTTTTAAATGGCCTTAAAATTCCAGGATGGGTTTAAATGCTGATATTTGTAGCAATAATCTGATTTTTGGAGAGTAAATAATGGTGGAGTTTTGCCATGCAACTTGGAAATAATTTCGTGTTGGTGCTCTGCAGTTTCCTGTTGGGTTTATAATGAAAAAAAAAAACCCTGGGATTTTGGGGTTGTTAATTTTGCTTTACCACATCCATATCCTTCCTAGAATTCATAGAATTCTATTCTATTCCATTCCATTCTATTCTATTCTATTCTATTCCATTCCATTCCATTCCATTCTATCTAATCCATTTTATTCCATTTTATTCCATTCCATTTTATTCCATTCCATTCCATTCCATTCCATTCCATTCCATTCCATTCCATTTTATTCCATTTTATTCCATTCCATTCCATTCCATTCCATCCCATCCCATCCCATCCCATCCCACTGAATTTTTACCAACCCCATTGTTCATTTTTTGTTTGCATTTCCGGGACACAAAAGCTCTCACGCCATCTGTACATTGAATTTCTACACCAAACTCCTGCCCTTTTGAAGAGCAATATTGCATTTTCAGCATTAAATATTTAAACCTGGAATGAAATATTGGGATTTTTTTTTCCAAGAATTCATAGAATTCTATTCTATTCTGTTCTATTCTATTCTATTCTATTCCATTCCATTCCATTCCATTCCATTCATCTAATCCATTTTATTCCATTCCATTCCATTCCATTCATCTAATCCATTTTATTCCATTCCATTCCATTCAATTCCATCTAATCCATTCCATTCCATTCCATTCCATCTAATCCATTTTATTCCATTTTATTCCTTTCCATTCCATTCCATTCCATTCCATTCCATCTAATCCATTTTATTCCATTCCATTCCATTCCATTCCATTCCATTCCATTCCATTCCATTCCATCTAATCCATTTTATTTTATTCCATTCCATTCCATTCCATTCCATTCCATTCCATTCCATCTAATCCATTTTATTCCATTCCATTCCATTCCATTCCATTCCATTCCATTCCATCTAATCCATTTTATTTTATTCCATTCCATTCCATTCCATTCCATTCCATTCCATTCCATTCCATTCCATTTTATTCCATTTTATTCCATTCCATTCCATTCCATTCCATTCCATTCTATCTAATCCATTTTATTTTATTCCATTCCATTCCATTCCATTCCATTCCATTCCATTCCATTCCATTCCATCTAATCCATTTTATTCCATCCCATCCCATCCCACTGAATTTTTACCAACCCCATTGTTCATTTTTTGTTTGCATTTCCGGGACACAAAAGCTCTCACGCCATCTGTACATTGAATTTCTACACCAAACTCCTGCCCTTTTGAAGAGCAATATCGCATTTTAAGCCTTAAAAATTTAAATTTTTTTTTTCCATCTTTTTCAGGTCTGACAGCCACAAAAGATTTTCTCCTTCGATATGGCCAAGTTCTGCAAGAGCTTGACTTTTCTGTTTTAACCCCGCTGTGGAGCAGAAATACGGCGGTAAATTTGATACCGTGGCAGCTGAGGGCGGAAAGAAAGAAATTTGTGATTATTTCCTCGCCCCTCCCCTGGAGAAATCGCGGTGTTTTATTTGGCTTTTGGAAGAAAACAGAGAACATTTCCCACAGCTCCACCGAGCTTTAGATGAATTCTTCGATAAAATGGGTGAGCGACCAAAGGGATCGAACGTTTCCGGTAAAAATTCATTTTATTGGGAATTTTTAGCGTGAAAATCCTGCGGGTGTGGAGCTGCTGTGGTGGTGTTGGGTGAAGGATTAGAGCAATAATTCCTGTGATTTCACAGTTAAATTGTAAATTAATTAAAATATTCTTATTTCCAGCGATCACTGTGAATTTTATCCTTCCCACGGATGATCCACCATTATATTTTCACAATTAAAATGTAAATTAATTAAAATATTGTTATTTCCATCGATCACCGTGACTTTTGTCCGTCCCACGGATGATCCAACCATTATATTTTCACAGTTAAATTGTAAATTAATTAAAATATTCTTATTTCCATCAATCACCATGAATTTTGTCCATTCCATTCCATCTAATGGAATTTTGTCCTTCCCACAGATGATCCACCATTATATTTTCACAATTAAATTGTAAATTAATTAAAATATTGTTATTTCCATCGATCACCGTGACTTTTGTCCTTCCCACAGCTGATCCACCATTATATTTTCACAGTTAAATTGTAAATTAATTAAAATATTGTTATTTCCATCGATCACCATGAATTTTATCCTTCCCACAGATGACCCACCATTATATTTTCACAATTAAATTGTAAATTAATTAAAATATTCTTATTTCCATCGATCACCATGAATTTTATCCTTCCCACAGATGATCCACCATTATATTTTCACAATTAAATTGTAAATTAATTAAAATATTCTTATTTCCATCGATCACCATGAATTTTATCCTTCCCACAGATGATCCACCATTATATTTTCACAGTTAAATTGTAAATTAATTAAAATATTGTTATTTCCATTGATCACCATGACTTTTGTCCTTCCCACAATGACCCAACCATTATATTTTCACAGTTAAATTGTAAATTAATTAAAATATTCTTATTTCCATCGATCACCATGAATTTTGTCCATTCCATTCCATCTAATGGAATTTTGTCCTTCCCACGGATGACCCAACCATTATATTTTCACAATTAAAATGTAAATTAATTAAAATATTGTTACTTCCATCGATCACCATGAATTTTGTCCTTCCCACGGATGATCCACCATTATATTTTCACAATTAAAATGTAAATTAATTAAAATATTGTTATTTCCATCGATCACCATGACTTTTGTCCTTCCCACAGATGACCCAACCATTATATTAAAGAAGCAGGGAAATGAGAATTTATCAGTAAGTGAATTTTATTTCTCTTTGGCCTCAGCTCACAAAGAACTTTCTGCTGTTTCAGAAAATGAAATATTTTGCAGCCTGGTCGTCCAGATTTATTGGAATTTAAATCTAAAACAGATTTAATTTCTTAATGTATTTGATACTTGATGCTAAAACAGAATTTAATTTCTGAAATTATTTGATACTTGAATTATTTAATAATAATTTTCCAAGTGTGCCTCATTCTGAATCACTCTTTGATTGGTGTCATCATTAAAATCCAATTGGCAGAAACAGATTTTGGATTTCAGTTTTTTTATTGAAATTCTTGCCTGCAGTAAAATTTACCTTTGCAAATCCAGGATTTGCTTTTGGTTCACAGTAAAGCTTTAGAGTTAATTCATGCACATATTAAGAAATTCAGAATTTTTAGTGTGCACATTAATAAAATGCAGAAATTTTAATTTGCACGTTAATAAAATGCAGAATTTTTAATTTGCACGTTAATAAAATGCAGAATTTTTAATTTGCACGTTAATAAAATGAAGAAATTTAAATGTACACATGAATAAAATGCAGTTTTTAATACAATAATAAAATTCAGAATTTTTAATGTGCACACTAAACAAATGCAGAATTTTTAATTTTTACGTTAATAAAACGAAGAAATTTAAATGTACACATTAATGAAATGCAGTTTTTAATGCAGACATTAAAAAAATTCAGAATTTTTAATGTGCACTTACATAAAATGTGAACTTTTTAATGTACGGATTCACAAAATGCAGAATTCTAAAGTGTACATTAATAAAATGAAGAATTTTAAATGTTAATGTTAATAAAATTCAGAGTTTTTTATGTACGTGCTAAGGAAAGGCAGATTTTTTAAAAAATCTACACATTAATAAAATGCAGAAATTTTAATTTGCATGTTAATAAAATGAAGAAATTTAAATGTACACATTCATAAAGTGCAGTTTTTAATACACACAATAATAAAATTCAGAATTTTTACTGTGCACACTAAACAAATGCAGAATTTTTAATTTTCACGTTAATAAAACGAAGAAGTTTAAATGTACACATTAATAAAGTGCAGTTTTTAATGCAAACAATAATAAAATTCAGAATTTTTAATGTGCACTTAAATAAAATGTCAACTTTTTAATGTACAGATTCACAAAATGAAGAATTCTAAAGTGTACCTTAATAAAATGAGGAATTTTAAATGTAAATGTTAATAAAATTCAGAGTTTTTAATGTACGTGCTAAGGAAAGGCAGATTTTTTAAAAATCTACACATTAATAAAATGCAGAAATTTTAATTTGCATGTTAATAAAATGAAGAAATTTAAATGTACACATTCATAAAGTGCAGTTTTTAATGCACACATTAATAAAATTCAGAGTTTTTCATGTGCACATTAATAAAATGCAGAATTTTTAATTTGTATGTTAATAAAATGAAGATATTTAAATGCACACATTAATGAAATTCAGAATTTTTAATGTGCACATTAACAAAATGCAGACTTTTTAATGCACATATTAAAAAATGCAGAATTTGAAAGTGTACATTAATAAAATGAAGAATTTTAAATGTACATGTTAATGAAATGCAGATTTTTTAAAATCCGCACATTCATGAAATGAGAATTTTGAATATACATCCTAATGAAATACAGATTTTTTTTAAATCTACACAATTATTACATCCAGAATTTTACTGTGCGTGTTAATGAGGTGCAGATTTTTAAAAAAATCTACACATTAATTACTTGCAGAACATTTAATGTACACATGAATAAAATTCAGATTTTTAAATGTACACATTAAAAAAATGCAGATTTTTTTTTTTTTTTTTTTTTTGCTTTTCCATTTCATGAATGAAATGAAAACCAGCACAAGAAAACTGCTTTGATTTTAGCATTAAAATAATTAAAATAATTTTTCCTGTTCTTGGGTCATCCCAATCCTGTTAACGAATAATTCAAATTTAATTTCCTCCATCTTTGCCTTCCTTGGAAAGCTGAAGCAACATTTGCCAATCCTGTGCCTTCGTTTCCTTTTCTGTTTCAGAATAATGAAATCAAAGTTAAAAATAAAAACAGGAAGAAGAATTTGAAAGATTCAAAGGTCAGTAACTTCGGACCAAGCAGGTGCCATTTATTTACTGCTAAAAACCCACCTAAAATTGGGATTTTTTTTACATTTCTGGCATTTAGGTGGATGGGAGCTTTTTTGTAAATAGCTTGAGGAGATTCCTCACTGAAGTGGCTTCTCCTGAAGTAAAATTAAGCTGTTAATATTTAAATTATGCCATTTGGTTCAAATTTATCAGCATAAAAGCAAATTTTAAATTTATTTATGACTCACTTTGGCTCTGACTGGAGGCACCTTGCACTGGCTTAATTCTGAATTATTGTTGGGATTTTAATTTTCCATGTGGGAAGATGGGAATTTGGTTCAAAAATTCCATTTCATGCTCAGGAATGTTATTAATTTTGTTATGAATTTTTCATTATTTTATAGAGTTTATTGGAATATTAATCTGCCTGAGTTTTCTGCTGCCTTTTGGAGGATTTTGCTTTATTGAAAACCTCATGCCCTCACCTCTTTATCATTTTTCTAGAATTTCAAGAGTAAACTTCAGATTTTTTTTTCCTCAGGATTTATTTTTCTGACTTAGGTGCATTTATTTGCGTATTTTTAAATTAATAGATAATAAAAATAAAGACAATTTAAGTGTCTATAATGGGATAGACAGATATAATAATAACCAGAGTGACATGTGGAATTAGGGATAATTCCTGCTTGTGGTAAATTTGTTACAGCCTCAAATTTAAAAGAAAGTTTAATTAAAATTTTGATGAAATTGGTTAAAAAAGAGGGATTTGGGTCTGAATATCCCAATTTCTTTTTCCCAAATAAGTTCTGAAGAAGGAATTAATATCTTTAAATTAAAAATTAATTAAGCTGGGACTCAGCACTGATAATTTTACCTGGAAATTTTGCAGTTCATAATGAACATGATGAATTTAAAGACCAAAATTCAATGTAAATAAGTTACTCCTGCTCTTTGCAGTGGATTATGTTACCTGAGTTTTTGTGAGGCAAAAACTAAAAGAAATCCGTTTTTAATTAGTCTATTTTAGTATTATCCAGTGGAGTTAGTACAGCACCACGAGAAGAAGAGAAGATATTTATAGAAGAAAATAATGTGTGAGTATTTGATTCTGCTTTTATTGCCCAAACTCCAAACTGCAGGAGAAGAATCCCTGAAAAACACCAAGGCTGCCTTAACTTGATTTTTCTTTCTCTGATTTTCAAGGTACAGAGATTTTCCAAATGAAAATCCCTTTGTAGTCCCAGAACATCTCCAGGATCAACTGGAGGAATTCGAAGCTCGTTATAATATTGCAAATAGTAACAATTATCAGATTAATAATAATAATAATCCAGATCCAATCTCTGAGAATTTATATGAGTGAGTATCGATTTCTGTGTTTGGGGGTTCAGGGGGTTGAATTTTACTTCATAATTTTAATAATTCTTGGGATTAATTGCAATCCTGGTGGGTGTGTAATTTTAATAATTTTTGGGATTAATTGGAATCCTGGTGGGTGTGGTGTGATCCAATCTCTGAGAATTTATATGAGTATCAATTTCTGTGTTTGGGAGCTTCAGGAAGTTGAATTTTACTTCATAATTTTAATAATTTATTGGATTAATTGGAATCCTGGTGGGTGTGGTGTGATCCAATCTCTGAGAATTTATATGAGTATCAATTTCTGTGTTTGGGGGCTTCAGGGGTTTGAATTTTACATCATAATTTTAATAATTTATTGGATTAATTGGAATCCTGGTGGGTGTGTAATTTTAATAATTTTTGGGATTAATTGGAATCCTGGTGGGTGTGATGTGATCCAATCTCTGAGAATTTATATGAGTGAGTATCAATTTCTGTGTTTGGGGGCTTCAGGGGGTTGAATTTTACTTCATAATTTTAATAATTTTTGGGATTAATTGCAATCCTGGTGGGTGTGGTGTGATCCAATCTCTGAGAATTTATGAGTGAGTATCGATTTCTGTGTTTGGGGGCTTCAGGGGGTTGAATTTTACTTCATAATTTTAATATTTTTTGGGATTAATTGCAATCCTGGTGGGTGGGGCGTGTCTATGAAGGAGTGGGTTGAATTGACTGAAGGAATGGATTAAATGGATCGGAGGAATGGATGAAAAACTTGAATTAATTATAATAATTCTGGGGTTTTTTTAAAGTTATTTCTCTCAAATCTTGGAAGAACATGGCCCTCTGGAAATTAATAATAAATTGCTGATTGGGGAATATGAAAATTTCCCTGAGGAGACGCGGAAGGTGGTGGAAGATGGGGGCGGCCTTGAGGCCTTCCTGCTGAAATCCCTCCGGTTCATCATGCTGGATAACCTGATTGGCCTGAAGAAGCACTCGGCCCTTTTTGAAGGAGATCCAAGCAGAAATGAAATTAAAGATGAAAATCCACCTGGGGAATGCCCGGGGAATCCTGCCCACAGCAAGCCGCCCCTCAATCCCTATGCCCAGGAGTTCAAACCTCTCTCGTACCCCGTGGGTGCCCCTTTGGCAGCAGCTCCAGAATTCTCAGATTATCACACCCAGCAGTATTTCCCCTGCTCCTTCCCTGCTCCCTGCGCTCCTGGAAATCCTCTAAAAAACGAAAATATTGATTCCATGGAAAGCCAGGCTCCGTTTTCAGGTGTTTTACTGAAAGGCTTCGAGCCTGCAGGCCCGGCTGTGTTTTTGCCTCAGAGCTCCTGGGGTTATCAGTATGGAATATTGCCCCTGGCACAGGCCGGGTTTATTTATGCTGATCCTGCAGCTCCTCAGGAACGTCTGCACTCAGCAATCCCAGCTGGGAAATGCAGCCCTGAGCTTTTCGTGCCAGGTGAAATCCAGGAGTACAAAGGCCCTTGGGGCCAAGTGGAGAACTTGGATAAAAAGGATTCTGCTTTACCAAATGGCTCGGATGAAGCTGAGGGTGATAAATGTGTTAAAAAGGAAAAAGGAAAGAAAAATCAAGACGGGATGAAGGGCAGTCCTCACACAAAGATGGTGGCAGTGCAGGTAAGGAGTGGGGAAAATGCTGGGGAGATTTTATAGGTTATATTTGATAGGAGCAGCCTGGGACAGTGGGAGGTGTCCCTGCCACGGCAGGGGTGGCACCGGGTGAGTTTCAGGACATTCCTGTGCTGGCAGGAAAGGCTGGCACAGCTGGCATTGCTCACCTGCACAGGAGAAGCTTTGGGCTGAGCTCAGGGCGGCCTTGCAGGGCCTGGAGGAGCCCCAGGAAAGCTGGAGAGAGACAATGGCCAGGGGATGCAGGGACAGCACACAGGGAATGGCTCCACACTGAGAAATTACAGGTGTAGATCAGACATCAGGAACAATTTCCTCCCTGGCAGGGTGGGCAGGGCTGGGATGGAATTCCACCCCTGGATCCCTGGCAGTGCCCAAGGCCAGGCTGGACACTGGGGCTGGGAGGGGACAGTGGGAGGTGTCCCTGCCCTGGGTGATTTTAGGGTCCCTTCCATGCCCAATTAAGGTTTGCATCTCCTTTCTCTCCCTGGGAGATTCCTGCTAAAAATCCCTGTTGTATCCCTGGTGTAGAGCTCTCCCATTGTTGTGTTTTCATCCCAGACTTAGATTCCAGGCCCAGTTCATGAGCTAAAATTAAATCTTTCCACATGGCAGGGCTGGCACTGGATGAGTTTTAAGGTCCCTCCCAACCCAAACCATTCCATGATTCCTGAGAACTTTCCGTTCCTGTGATTACTCACTTTTCATTTGTAACTCTTCAGAGCTGCTCACTGAATTTTGTTGTTCCTGAAGTTTTTGCAGCTCTTTTTTCCCTGGGTATCACACAGGGAACCGCTGCACGAAAGTTTCACTTTAGAGACGAAGCAAAGTCATTCAGTGTCGTTACTTTTTTCCTTTTGTGATGAGTTCAGGGATTTATTTTCACTTCCACAACATCTGAGGATTTGAATTTGTGGAGAAGAGGAGGCTCAGGGGGAACCTTCTCACTCTCTAGGAGGGTGAGACACTTTCCTGCAAAAGTTCATTTTTCAGACATTTAGAGCATGGCTTTACGTAAAGACTCACAGAACTCCCTGGGATTGCTCGTGGTCAGTGAAATCAGGGAAAGAAAATTAAAAATCCCTTTCAGAAACAGCTCCACAATGTTTTCCTACATCATTTCTAGGCCTGGATTAGAGTTGGATTTATAGAACCCTCAGTGAGGTACAAAAGCTCCAAACCAGAGCAGCTCATCTATGAACCGAGAAGATTTTTAATCAAATTCTAATATTTTTTTGTGTTCTAGGTAAATCAGGAAGTTGCTAATAGGGAAACCAATACTTTGCCTTTCCATCCATTTGAAAATCAACAAGTAAGTTCCTGCACCCTGGTGTACATTTCTCGTGAGGGAGTTAAAGGAATGCCCAAAAACTGAATGTTCAAATGAAAGTTCTCTGAAAAAAAACAGGTTTTAACAGATATTTTATATTTTGGGTTGTTTGGCTGTTTTTGTGTTCTGTGATGTTCTTGGAAACATCACCCAGCCCCACAAGGAAATGATTTTTGAGCTTTGCTCTGATGTTTGATATTTGTTGTGATTGTTTTATGTTGAGTTTGTGAGGGGTCCCCAGGATGAAGGAGGAATTGAGAATCTGACTCCATGTTCTCAGAAGGCTGATTTATATTATATTATATTATATTATATTATATTATATTATATTATATTACATTACATTACATTACATTATATTACATTACATTATATTATATTATATCATATTATATTATATTATATCATATCATATCATATCATATATCATATTATGTTATATCACATTATATTATATCACATTATATTATATTATATTTATTATATTATATTACATTATATTACATTACAGTATATTACATTATAGTATATTATATTATAGTATATTATATTATATTTAGTATAGTATGTATTATAGTATATTATAGTATATTATATATTATATTATAGTACATTATATAGTATATTATAGTATATTATATCATAATTATGCTATACTAGAACTATATAAAAGAAGGAGAAAGGATGCAGACAGAAGGTTTAGCAGGAATGATAATGAAAAGTGATTGTCCTCAGAGTCCAACACAGCTGATGGTGATTGGTCATTAATTAAAAACAATTCACATGGAACCAATCAAACATTCACCTGTTGGACAAACAATCTCCAAAGCAGCAAACACAGGAGGAGCAATCAGATTATTATTGTTTCCATTTCTCTCTGAGGTTTCTCAGCTTCCCAGGAGAGAAATTCTGCCAAAAGGATTCTTCCAGAAAATGTGACAGTGACAGTTTTATTCTGAGCTATTCAGATGCCGAATGTTTGAGGTGTTTCCTGTCAAAACCCAGATTTGAACATTCCATTTGGGCATGGGGACATTTCAGAGAGGCGTTCATGGCAGGTTTATTCTGTGGCAGGAGATAAAATGAGAAACTGTGACCCTTGAGCTGGGAGCATCAGTCAGAGTTTCTGTCCGTGCTTTCTGTGACTGGTGAATTGCAGGGCGACATTCTCCGCGTGGAGAAGGAGCACCGGGTGCTGCAGGAGCAGCTCAGGGAGGCACAGCTGAAATCGGAGCAGTCCCGGAGCAGGAGCTTGGAGGAAATCGCGGCTCTGGAAGGGCTCCTGAAGAAAAGCCTTGAGGAGACTCAGGTGAAGCATTTCCCATGGTCACAGACCGGGAATCCCGGGGGCGGGAGGTGTCCTGTCCTCCCAGCCATCCAGCACCCCCTGGTTTGGGGCTTTCGGCAGCAATTAGCAATTTATTCTGTGCATAAAATGTAGTTCTTCTCATTCTTGTAACAGTTCTTATGGGTGTTGGTAAATTTGAACTGTTTGGTTAAAATGCGTGATTTTTAACAGTAATTATTAATTTATTTTGGGATTTTTAACAGTAATTATTAATTTATTTTATAGATATGAGGTAGTTCTTCTCATTCTTGTAACAGTTCTTATGGGTGTTGGTAAATTTGAACTGTTTGGTTAAAATGCGTGATTTTTAACAGTAATTATTAATTTATTTTGGGATTTTTAACAGTAATTATTAATTTATTTTATAGATATGAGGTAGTTCTTCTCATTCTTGTAACAGTTCTTATGGGTGTTGGTAAATTTGAACTGTTTGGTTAAAATGCGTGATTTTTAACAGTAATTATTAATTTATTTTGGGATTTTTAACAGTAACTATTAATTTATTTTATAGATATGAGGTAGTTCTTCTCATTCTTGGGAGGGTACTTATGGGTGTTGGTAAATTTGAATTGTTTGGTTAAAATGCGTGAGAAGTCACACATTTTGTGACTGTTTTTGTGTTTTGTGTAGTTGTAATATGAACTGTTTTACTGAGGTCTGTTATATTTATTGTTTTTATGTTTGTATCTGTTGTGGAGATGTTTTTGTCCTCCCCATTCCAGCATTCCCTGACTGATCCCTGATTTGGGGTTTTTAACAGTAATTATGAATTTATTTTGTAGATATGAAGTAGTTCTTCTAATTCTTGTAAGAGCACTTATGGGTGTTGGTAAATTTGAATTGTTTGGTTAAAATGTGTGAGGAATCCCAGTGATGGTTTTGTGTTTTATATAGTTGTGATGTGAACTGTTTTACTGAGGTGTGTTATATTTATTGTTGATATATTTATATCTATTGTTGATATATCTTTGTCCTGCTCGCCCCAGCCATTCCAGCATTGCCTGACTGATCCCTGATTTGGAGTTTTTAACAGCAATTATTAATTTATTCTGTAGATATAAATTAATATCCCTGATCGAGGATTTGTAACAATAATTATTAATTTATTTTGTAGATATGAAGTAGTTCTTCTAATTCTTGTAAGAGCACTTATGGGTGTTGGTAAATTTGAATTGTTTGGTTAGAATGTGTGAGGAATCCCAGTGATGGTTTTGTGTTTTATATGGTTGTGATATGAACTGATTTACTGAGGTGTAATGTAAAGTTGTATGTTAGTTCTGCTTGTTTATTATTGATATGTTTATAGATATAAACATACATGTTTATGTGTATAAACATATCAATGTACATTGATTTTTATATAGATGTATAAAGGACATTAAGTATTGCCTTCAAACTTGCAAAAATGTATTTTTGGTGTTTATCTTGTTCATTTACATTTATTGGCAATGTAATATTAAGAGTTATTGCTGGTTTTAATTGAGTTACTATTGGAGTGTTTTAAGCCAGAGTCAAATACCCTCAGTCTGCTCCCACTTTTACCTGAATAAAGCACAATTTTCAGAAATGAGCTTTTTCCTTCTGTGCCCTCAGGTGTCCCAGAATGAGCTGGATTGGTTCCACCGCGACTCAGAGGCACAAATGAAGAAATGGCAGCAGGAGAAGAAGGAAAATCGAGAGAATTTAAAAGCGCTGAGGGGCACAGCCAGGAAACACTCGGACACCAATGAGAGGTACCCTGGAAATGGATTTACACCCCCCATCCTGACAGGCTGAAAATTGCAGAACTTCAAAGGAAATTTGTGAAAGCAGCCAGCATTAGGCTGGAATATGGACACGGCCATTTATTTTGAATTTTTTGGCAAATTACAGGCGAACATCTAAAATAGCTTGGAGCTAAGTGATGAAAGTGATTTAGCAATAATTCTCCAAATCAGATTTGACAATTCCTTCTGCATTTTCACGTCCTCTCTGTTTATAGAGCACTGACTTTGGTCCTTGAATGCCTTTGTTTTATCTTTAATTGTTTTATCTTTGTTTTGTCTTACTTTAATGTTTTATCTTAAATAGTTGGGGCCAAATCTCTCCTGAAAAAATCATCAGCCTGGTTTTATCTTAATCACTGCTTTATTAGCAATAAATTTAAAAATATATATAGAGTAGAATCAATTTAAATGCATTTAAATGTATTTAGAATGGAAATAGAATAGTTTGGGTTGGGATGGATCACTAAAACGCATTTATTTCCACTCCTCCCATGTCCCAGGTTGCTCCAGTTAGAATGGCATCCATTTAAATGGATTTAAATTAAAATTTGGAATAGTTTGGGTTGGGATGGATGATTAAAAACCATTTATTAGAATGGAATCCATTTAAATGGATCTAGAATAAAATTTAGAATAGTTTGGGTTGGGATGGATGATTAAAAACCATTTATTTCCACTCCTCCTTGCTCCAATTAGAATGGCAGCCATTTAAATGGATCTAGAATAAAATTTAGAATAGTTTGGGTTGGGATGGATCATTAAAACCCATTTATTTCCACTCCTCTCACTGTCCCAGGTTGCTCCAATTAGAATGGCATCCATTTAAATGGATTTAAATTAAAATTTAGAATAGTTTGGGTTGGGATGATCCATTAAAAACCATTTATTAGAATGGCATCCATTTAAATGGATCTAGAATAAAATTTAGAATAGTTTGGGTTGGGATGGACCATGAAAAACCATTTATTTCCACTCCTCCTTGCTCCAATTAGAATGGCAGCCATTTAAGTGGATTTAAAATAAAATTTAGAATAGTTTGGGTTGGGATGATCCATTAAAAACCATTTATTAGAATGGAATCCATTTAAATGGATTTAGAGTGAAATTTAGAATAGTTTGGGTTGGGATGGATCATTAAAAACCATTTATTTCCACTCCTCCCATGTCCCAGGTTGCTCCAATTGGAATGGAATCCATTTAAATGGATTTAGAATAAAATTTAGAATAGTTTGGGTTGGGATGGATGATTAAAAACCATTTATTAGAATGGAATCCATTTAAATGGATCTAGAATGGAATTTAGAATAGTTTGGGTTGGGATGGATCATTAAAAACCATTTATTTCCACTCCTCTCACTGTCCCAGGTTGCTCCAATTAGAATGGCATCCATTTAAATGGATTTAAATTAAAATTTAGAATAGTTTGGGTTGGGATGGATGATTAAAAACCATTTATTAGAATGGAATCCATTTAAATGGATTTAAATTAAAATTTAGAATAGTTTGGGTTGGGATGGATGATTAAAAACCATTTATTAGAATGGAATCCATTTAAATGGATTTAAATTAAAATTTAGAATAGTTTGGGTTGGGATGGATGATTAAAAACCATTTATTAGAATGGAATCCATTTAAATGGATCTAGAATAAAATTTAGAATAGTTTGGGTTGGGATGGATCATTAAAAACCATTTATTTCCACTCCTCCCATGTCCCAGGTTGCTCCAGTAGAATGGCATCCATTTAAATGGATTTAAATTAAAATTTAGAATAGTTTGGGTTGGGATGATCCATTAAAAACCATTTATTAGAATGGCATCCATTTAAATGGATCTAGAATAAAATTTAGAATAGTTTGGGTTGGGATGGACCATTAAAAACCATTTATTAGAATGGAATCCATTTAAATGGATTTAGAGTGAAATTTAGAATAGTTTGGGTTGGGATGGATGATTAAAAACCATTTATTAGAATGGAATCCATTTAAATGGATTTAGAGTGAAATTTAGAATAGTTTGGGTTGGGATGGATGATTAAAAACCATTTATTAGAATGGAATCCATTTAAATGGATCTAGAATAAAATTTAGAATAGTTTGGGTTGGGATGGATCACGAAAAACCATTTATTTCCACTCCTCCTTGCTCCAATTAGAATGGCATCCATTTAAATGGATTTAAATTAAAATTTAGAATAGTTTGGGCTGGGATGGATGATTAAAAACCATTTATTTCCCCTCTCCCATGTCCCAGGGACACTCCAGGCTGGGAATTCCACATTTCCTCAGGGATTAAACAGGATCTAAACCCTGCAGATTGTTATGTACATGTTCCATATTTGCCAATAAACATTTCCACAATAAACTCCATCAATCTTTCATTCCTGTAGGTATTTGAGGAGCATTGATGAGAAGGAAAAGCAATATAATGCAAGTGTGAAGACATTTCTGAAGGCCAGGTAAAACTCACCTCCCTCCCAGCAATATTTACATTTTTCTGCCTCACTCTGGGTAAAGGTTTAGGGGAAAAATCAACACTTTAACCCAAATTTCTTCCTCTTAGCTTGCTTTTACTCGCTGTGAATAAATATTAATATTTAGAATAAATGAAATCATACTCTCATACATTTCCCTTGATTACATGACACGGAGTAGCTGTAAAAAAAAACCCTAAAATAGCATAAATTTTAAATACTGTGTATATATATATAAAAATTTATATATATATTTATATAAATATAAATATGTTACTCAAACATTTCATTACTTTTCCTTTCACAGTAAGAAATTTGCTAATGAGAAAGGCAAACTGGAGGAGCTGATAAAAAAGAGTCAGAATGACAGCCAGGAGTGTGAGAGAAGAGCTGTGGCAGCAGAGGTACAAAAAACCCCAAAAAATCCTTAAAAACCTGTTTTGTACAGCTGGGGTTGTGCTGATTGGAGCGGGGAAATGATTTAAAAAATGTTGATTAAATATTGGAAATGAAGGGGTGGAAACTGCACTTGGAAATTCCTCACTGCAGGAAGTGTGTGCGCTTTGCATCTTTAAATTCTTGTTTAAATTCTTATTAAAACCTGGTTTAAGGTTTTATCCCTTTTTTTCCTTGTTTTTTTAAACTTGATTTTTGTGAGGTTTTTTTGGTGATTTTATTGTGGGGTTTTTTTACAAAAAAAAATCCTTAAAAACCTTTTTTTTACAGCTGGGGTTGTGCTGATTGGAGCGGGGAAATGATTTAAAAAATGTTGATTAAATATTGGAAATGCCAGGGGTGGAAACTGCACTTGGAAATTCCTCGATTTAGGAACAGTGTGTGCGCTTTGCATCCTCAAACTCTTGTTTAAATTCTTATTAAAATCTGGTTTAAGGTTTTATCCCTTTTTTTTTTCTTGTTTGTTTAAACTTGATTTTTGTGAGGTTTTTTTGGTGATTTTATTGTGGGGTTTTTTTACAAAAAAAACCAAAAAAATCCTTAAAAACCTGTTTTGTACAGCTGGGGTTGTGCTGATTGGAGCGGGGAAATGATTTTAAAAAATGTTGATTAAATATTGGAAATGCCAGGGGTGGAAACTGCACTTGGAAATTCCTCAATTTAGGAACAGTGTGTGCGCTTTGCATCTTTAAATTCTTGTTTAAATTCTTATTAAAACCTGGTTTAAGGTTTTATCCCTTTTTTTTTTCTTGTTTTTTTAAACTTGATTTTTGTGAGGTTTTTTTGGTGATTTTATTGTGGGGTTTTTTTACAAAAAAAAATCCTTAAAAACCTTTTTTTTACAGCTGGGGTTGTGCTGATTGGAGCGGGGAAATGATTTAAAAAATGTTGATTAAATATTGGAAATGCCAGGGGTGGAAACTGCACTTGGAAATTCCTCAATTTAGGAACAGTGTGTGCGCTTTGCATCCTCAAACTCTTGTTTAAATTCTTATTAAAACCTGGTTTAAGGTTTTATCCCTTTTTTTCCTTATTTTTTTAAACTTGATTTTTGTGAGGTTTTTTGGTGATTTTATTGTGGGATTTTTTTACAAAAAAAAACAAAAAAATCCTTAAAAACCTGTTTTGTACAGCTGGGGTTGTGCTGATTGGAGCGGGGAAATGATTTTAAAAAATGTTGATTAAATATTGGAAATGCCAGGGGTGGAAACTGCACTTGGAAATTCCTCAATTTAGGAACAGTGTGTGCGCTTTGCATCTTTAAATTCTTGTTTAAATTCTTATTAAAATCCGGTTTAAGGTTTTATCCCTTTTTTTCCTTGTTTGTTTAAACTTGATTTTTGTGAGGTTTTTTTGGTGATTTTATTGTGGGGTTTTTTTCCGTTTTGTTTTTCTGGAGTTTTTTGTGGTTTTGGGTTTTGTTTTGTTTTTTTGTGGTTTTTTGGGGGGTTTTTTTCTGTTTTATTTATTTGGGTTTTTTGTGGTTTTGGGGTTTTTCTGTGGGTTTTTTTTGTTTGGGTTTTTTTGTTTCTTTGTTTTATGGGGTGTTTTAGTTTTTGCTGGTTTTTTGGGGGGGTTTTTTTTGTGGTTTTGTTTTTTGGGGGGGGAATGCTTTTGGGGTTTTTCTGTTTTGTTCTTTGGGGGATTTTTTTGTGGTTTTGGGAGGGGTTTGGTGTTGGTTTGTTTGTCTGTGGGGTTTTTTTGCTTTTTTGGGTTTTTTTCTGTTTTGTTCTTTGGAGGATTTTTTTGTGTTTTTTGGGGAGGGTTTGGTGTTTGTTTGTTTGTTTGTGTGGGGTTTTTTTGGTTTTTTAGAGTTTTTTTTCTGTTTTGTTCTTTGGGGGATTTTTTTGTGTTTTTTGGGGGGGATTGGTTTTTGTTTGTTTGTTTGTGTGGGGTTTTTTTGCTTTTTTGGTTTTTTTTCTCTTTTGTTCTTTGGGGGATTTTTTTGTGTTTTTGGGAGGGGATTGGTGTTTGTTTGTTTGTTTGTGTGGGTTTTTTTGGTTTTTTGGGGTTTTTTCTGTTTTGTTCTTTGGGGGATTTTTTTGTGTTTTTTGGGGGGGATTGGTGTTTGCTTGTTTGTGTGGGGTTTTTTTGCTTTTTTGGTTTTTTTCCTGTTTTGTTCTTTGGGGGATTTTTCTATGTTTTTGGGGGGGATTGATGTTTGTTCGTTTGTCTGTGTGGATTTTTTTGCTTTTTTAGAGTTTTTTCTGGGTTTTTTTGGGGCGTTTTTGTGGTTTTGGGGTTATTTTGTGTTCTCTTCTTGTTTGTTTGTTTTGTTTCGTTTATTTTTAATTCTCTTTTGCCCCAGGTCTCCGTGCTGCAGAGCTGGAAGGAAACGGAGGGCTGGAGGCTCAGGGGCACCATTGCCAAGGCAGAGGGAAACCTGCGCGTGCTGCAGGCGCTGGGCAGGTCCTGCTCAGGAATTATTTATTGCTTATTTATTTTAGAGTTATATTTATATTTTATAGCTATTTTATATATTTATTCTATAGTTGTATCGACTATACTTTTTATTTTGTAGTATTATTGTTATTGTTATTATTTGCACGGAGTTGGGGGTAAATAATATTGCCCCAAACAAAATTCAGCTGAAAATTGAGTCTCATCCTTGTCCTTGTGTCTTTCTGAGCTGGGAAAATCAGATTATCTGGGTAGTGGTGGTACTATTATTATTATTATTATTATTATTATTGTTATTATTATTATTATTATTATTATTATTATTATTATTATTATTATTATTCCCATTGTTCCTATTATTCCTATTATTATTGTTATTCCAATTATTCCTGCCCAGTACCCCTGGAAAAGGGATAAAATCAGTGTAACTGATTGTAACCTGAAATCCCTTGAAAACTTGAACTGGGATTAATTGTTAATTATTTGCTATATAATATTTATTTTCATATATTTATATAATTATACTCTATAATTATACCAACTGTAGTTTCTATTTTCTGTAGTTATCTTGAATATATAGTATTTATATGAAATATAATAACAATAGTAGTATAAAAGTGCTCAGAATTGGGGGTAAATAATATTGCCCCAAACAAAATTCAGCTGAAAATTGATTGTCATCCTTATGCCTTTCTGAGCTGGGAAGTATAATTATTATTATTATTATTATTATTATTATTATTATTATTATTATTATTATTCCAGTTATTCCTATCCAGTGTCCCTGGAAAAGGGCTGTGGTGTAACTGATTGTAACCTGAAATCCCTTGTAAAATTGAACTAGGATTAATTGTTAATTATTTACTAAATGATGTTTCTTTTATATTCTATAATTATATAAACTATAATTATTTTCTGTAGTTCTATTGAATATAATAATAATAATGATAATGATAATGATAATGATAATAATAATAATAATAATGACGGTAGTAGTAGTATAAAAGTGCACAAAGTTGGGGGTAAATAATATTGCCCCAAACAAAATTCAGCTGAAAAATTGATTCTCATCCTTATCCTTGTGTCTTTCTGAGCTAGGAAAATCAGATTATCTGGGTAATAATACTAATAATAGTAATAATAATAATAATAATTCCAGTTATTCCTGCCCAGTACCCCTGGAAAAGGGCTGTGGTGTAACTGATTGTAACCTGAAATCCCTTGAAAACTTGAACTGGGATTGTTAATTATTTGCTATATAATATTTATTTTTATATATTTATATAATTATACTCTATAATTATACCAACTGTAGTTTCTATTTTCTGTAGTTATATTGAATATGTAGTATTTATATGAAATATAATAACAATAGTAGTATAAAAGTGCTCAGAATTGGGGGTAAATAATATTGCCCCAAACAAAATTCAGCTGAAAATTGATTGTCATCCTTATGCCTTTCTGAGCTGGGAAGTATAATTATTATTATTATTATTATTATTATTATTATTATTATTATTATTATTATTATTCCAGTTATTCCTATCCAGTGTCCCTGGAAAAGGGCTGCAGTGTAACTGATTGTAACCTGAAATCCCTTGAAAACTTGAACTAGGATTAATTGTTAATTATTTACTATATGATGTTTCTTTTATATTCTATAATTATATAAACTATAATTATTTTCTGTAGTTCTATTGAATATAATAATGATAATGATAATGATAATGATAATAATAATAATAATAATGACGGTAGTAGTAGTATAAAAGTGCACAAAGTTGGGGGTAAATAATATTGCCCCAAACAAAATTCAGATGAAAAATTGATTCTCATCCTTATCCTTGTGTCTTTCTGAGCTGGGAAAATCAGATTATCTGGGTAATAATACTAATAATAGTAATAATAATAATAATAATTCCAGTTATTCCTGCCCAGTACCCCTGGAAAAGGGCTGTGGTGTAACTGATTGTAACCTGAAATCCCTTGAAAACTTGAACTGGGATTAATTGTTAATTATTTACTAAATATATATTTATATATTTATTATTTACTATGTATTTCTGTATTTATTTTTTATTATATAGTATTTACTATACTTGAAAACTTGAACTGGGATTAATTGTTAATTCTCTACTTTATATATTTATTATTTACAATATGGTATTTGCTATACTTGAAAACTTGAACTGGGATTGTTAATTATTTATTATATAATATTTATTTTATATTCTATGATTATATAAACTATAGTTTTTATGTTGTTATATTGAATATATAGTATTTATATTAAATATAACAACAGTAGTAGTATAAAAGTGCACAAAGTTGGGGGTAAATAATATTGCCCCAAACAAAATTCAGCTGAAAAATTGATTCTCATCCTTATCCTTGTGTCTTTCTGAGCTGGGAAAATCAGATTATCTGGATAATAATACTAATAATAGTAATAATAATAATAATAATTCCAGTTATTCCTGCCCAGTGTCCCTGGAAAAGGGCTGTGGTGTAACTGATTGTAACCTGAAATCCCTTGAAAACTTGAACTGGGACTAATTGTTAATTATTTACTAAATATATATTTATATTTACTAAATATTTCTCTATTTATTATTTATTATATAGTATTTACTATACTTGAAAACTTGAACTGGGACTAATCGTTAATTAATTACTAAATATATATTTATATATTTATGTTTACTATATATTTCTCTATTTATTATTTATTATATAGTATTTACTATACTTGAAAACTTGAACTGGGATTAATTGTTAATTAATTACTATATAAATTTTTTATAATCTATCATGATAATAACTATAGTTTTTATTGATGTAGTTAGAGTGAATGTATAATATTTATATGAAATATAAATACTGATTTTAACCTGAAATCCCTTGAAAACTTGAACTGGGACTAATTGTTAATTATTTACTAAATATATATTTATATATTTATGTTTACTATATATTTCTCTATTATTTATTATATAGTATTTACTATACTTGAAAACTTGAACTAGGATTAATTGTTAATCAATTACTATACGAGTTTTTTTTAATCTATTATTATATTAACTATAGTTTTTATTGATGCAGTTAGAGTGAATATATAATATTTATATGAAATATAAATACTGATTTTAACCTGAAATCCCTTGAAAACTTGAACTGGGACTAATTGTTAATTATTTACTAAATATATATTTATATATTTATGTTTACTATATATTTCTCTATTATTTATTATATAGTATTTACTATACTTGAAAACTTGAACTGGGATTAATTGTTAATTAATTACTAAATATATATTTATATTTACTATATATTTATTATTTATTATATAGTATTTACTATACTTGAAAACTTGAACTGGGATTAATTGTTAATCAATTACTATATGAGTTTTTTTAATCTATTATTATATTAACTATAATTTTTATTGATGTAGTTAGAGTGAATGTATAATATTTATATGAAATATAAATACTGATTTTAACCTGAAATCCCTTGAAAACTTGACCTGGGATCAGTTGTTGGGGGAGGAACTGGTGTTAAAAATAACAGCAATATTGGAGTTTACCTGTGAATTCTCAATTTTCCAGCAGCTCAGCTCCTGCAGCTCCTGTGTTGAAGTCCCAGATTGATTCCTGGGAAATATTTATTTCAAATGTCAAGAAACAACTGGAAAAAGTCGAGGTAAAATTTCATTTCTCTCCAGCAGCCTCTCAGCTGAACTTTGGAAATGGAAGCATTAAATAAATTTGGTTTTTAACACACCAGCAGCTCGTGCTCTGAATGCTGAGGGGAATTTTTTTAATTACAAAAGAAAAAGGCAGTTTGGAGTCCAGGCTGGGAATTTCTAGTGGACATATTAATTTTTTAAAGTAATAAATAAATTAATAAATATTAATTTTTTAAAGGCAAAAATCTGCCCTTTACACACTTGCTTTAAAATTGGGTCTCCACCTGAAGTGGTTTTGGTTCGTTAGTTTGAAACTTTATGGATTCCAATATGTTATTTGATACTAATTTTGAAATTTAAATTTAATTTTCATTTCATTTCATTTTCATTTAATTTAAAGATTTTTGCATCACTTCCTCCTATTATTTAAAGATTTTTGCATCACTTCCTCCTGTAAATTTCCTCCTATCCCAAACCACTACACGACATTAACAAGTCTGTTATTTTTCTTGGTCACCTTCCGAAATCCATGGAGCTTCTTAAAAAAAAAAAAAAAAAACACCAAACAAAAAACCCCCAAAAAAACCATTAAAAAATAAACCCCAAAGCCAAACCCAGGGAGAAGCTGAGTGTAAAATGTGACGTTTGGTGAGGAGGGGGTTGGTTGGTTGATTGTTGTTGTTGTGTTTCCTCCTGCAGGCCGAGTATGAGGAGAAGATGGCGCTGGTGAGGACGGGGGCCCGGGGCTGCCTCAGCAAAGTGGAAGTTGTGGATTTTCCCTGGCCCCAGGGCTTTGTGGTGAGTGTCCCACACCGACCCCACACAGCCCCAGGGTTTGTGGTGAGTGTCCCACACCGACCCCACAGAGCCGCAGGGTTTGTGGTGAGTGTCCCACACCGACCCCACACAGCCGCAGGGTTTGTGGTGAGTGTCCCACACCGACCCCACACAGCCGCAGGGTTTGTGGTGTCCCACACCGACCCCACACAGCCGCAGGGTTTGTGGTGAGTGTCCCACACCGACCCCACACAGCCGCAGGGTTTGTGGTGAGTGTCCCACACCGACCCCACACAGCCGCAGGGTTTGTGGTGAGTGTCCCACACCGACCCCACACAGCCGCAGGGTTTGTGGTGTCCCACACCGACCCCACACAGCCGCAGGGTTTGTGGTGAGTGTCCCACACCGACCCCACACAGCCGCAGGGTTTGTGGTGTCCCACACCGACCCCACACAGCCCCAGGGTTTGTGGTGAGTGTCCCACACCGACCCCACACAGCCGCAGGGTTTGTGGTGAGTGTCCCACACCGACCCCACACAGCCGCAGGGTTTGTGGTGAGTGTCCCACACCGACCCCACACAGCCGCAGGGTTTGTGGTGAGTGTCCCACACCGACCCCACACAGCCGCAGGGTTTGTGGTGAGTGTCCCACACCGACCCCACACAGCCGCAGGGTTTGTGGTGTCCCACACCGACCCCACACAGCCGCAGGGTTTGTGGTGAGTGTCCCACACCGACCCCACACAGCCGCAGGGTTTGTGGTGTCCCACACCGACCCCACACAGCCCCAGGGTTTGTGGTGAGTGTCCCACACCGACCCCACACAGCCGCAGGGTTTGTGGTGAGTGTCCCACACCGACCCCACACAGCCGCAGGGTTTGTGGTGAGTGTCCCACACCGACCCCACACAGCCGCAGGGTTTGTGGTGAGTGTCCCACACCGACCCCACACAGCCGCAGGGTTTGTGCTGAGTGTCCCACACCGACCCCACACAGCCCCAGGGTTTGTGGTGAGTGTCCCACACCGACCCCACACAGCCGCAGGGTTTGTGGTGAGTGTCCCACACCGACCCCACACAGCCGCAGGGTTTGTGGTGTCCCACACCGACCCCACACAGCCGCAGGGTTTGTGGTGAGTGTCCCACACCGACCCCACACAGCCGCAGGGTTTGTGGTGTCCCACACCGACCCCACACAGCCGCAGGGTTTGTGGTGTCCCACACCGACCCCACACAGCCGCAGGGTTTGTGGTGAGTGTCCCACACCGACCCCACACAGCCGCAGGGTTTGTGGTGTCCCACACCGACCCCACACAGCCCCAGGGGTTTGTGGTGTCCCACACCGACCCCACACAGCCGCAGGGTTTGTGGTGTCCCACACCGACCCCACACAGCCGCAGGGTTTGTGGTGAGTGTCCCACACCGACCCCACACAGCCGCAGGGTTTGTGGTGAGTGTCCCACACCGACCCCACACAGCCCCAGGGTTTGTGGTGAGTGTCCCACACCGACCCCACACAGCCGCAGGGTTTGTGGTGAGTGTCCCACACCGACCCCACACAGCCGCAGGGTTTGTGGTGTCCCACACCGACCCCACACAGCCGCAGGGTTTGTGGTGAGTGTCCCACACCGACCCCACACAGCCGCAGGGTTTGTGGTGTCCCACACCGACCCCACACAGCCCCAGGGTTTGTGGTGAGTGTCCCACACCGACCCCACACAGCCGCAGGGTTTGTGGTGAGTGTCCCACACCGACCCCACACAGCCGCAGGGTTTGTGGTGAGTGTCCCACACCGACCCCACACAGCCGCAGGGTTTGTGGTGAGTGTCCCACACCGACCCCACACAGCCGCAGGGTTTGTGGTGTCCCACACCGACCCCACACAGCCGCAGGGTTTGTGGTGAGTGTCCCACACCGACCCCACACAGCCGCAGGGTTTGTGGTGTCCCACACCGACCCCACACAGCCCCAGGGGTTTGTGGTGTCCCACACCGACCCCACACAGCCGCAGGGTTTGTGGTGTCCCACACCGACCCCACACAGCCGCAGGGTTTGTGGTGAGTGTCCCACACCGACCCCACACAGCCGCAGCCCCTGGTGTGGCCGCAGGGGTGGCAGGGCCGGAATGGGACAATGGGACACGCCAAGGTGGCCCTGCAGCTCCAGGGCAGCGGGGATGGAGCTGGGCAGGGCGGGGGGCAGCACGTTCCCATCCCAGCTCCTGGAGGGGCTCGGGCTGCTCGGAGCTGGAAATTATGGATTTGTCCATTGTAGGGTTCCTGTGGCAGCAAAATCCTGCAATTCCAGGGTGGTTTGGGTTGGAAGGGACCTTAAAATCATCCAGTGCCAGCCCTGACACCTCCCACTGTCCCAGGCTGCTCCAGCCTGGCCTTGGGCACTGCCAGGGATGCAGGGATGGAATTCCATGCCAGCCCTGCCCGCCCTGCCAGGGAACAATTCCTGCCCAGGATCCCACCCAGCCCTGCCCGCCCTCAGCTCAGGGCCGATCCCTGTGTGCTGTCCCTCCATCCCCTGTCCCCAGCCTGTCCCCAGCTCTTCTCTAGGCGCTGCAAGGGGCTCTCTGGAGCCTTCTCCAGGCTGAACAGCCCCAAAATCCTTGGGATAAACCCCATTGTGCAGAATTTCCAAATCCCCGAGGCTGGCACAGCCCTGCCAGCCCATGCAGTGCCAGCTGTGCCCCATGGGCACCTTGTGCCAGCCCAGAGCACTCAGTGCCACCTCCAGGGCACACCTGCAGGGATGGGCACTGCAAAGCTCCCTGGGCAGCCCCTGAGCTCCCTTTCCATCCATGGGGAAGCTTTCCCAGAGGAATTCCTGCAGCTCTGTGTGTCCCTGATGGCAAACACCGAGCTCAGCTCCCAGCCAGGTGAGGCAGGAGGAGCTGAGCCATTTCTGGGAGTGCATCTGGAACGAGAACAGCCCCAGAAATTCTGAGAAAATCTGTCCACAGACATTTTCTCATGGCTCAACAGCTCCTCCTCCAGCTTCCTTCAAACCAAAGCAGTTTCTTCTCACCCCTCTAATTTTTTAAGCCTTTTTTTTTTCTCTCTGGAAAATCTTGGTTTGTCATTTTCTTTTTTTTTTTTTGGTCTGGGTGTAATTTAGATTCAGGGCTCTGGTCTAATCTTTGAGATGGTTCTTACACTTTTTCTGGGTTTCTGCAAGTTCCACTCCTGCTCTCCTGCATAATTCCCCACTTATTTTTAGGTCTGTCCTTTCTATTTATTGACACAGAATATGGGGACAGCTTAATCACCACCAATTTACTGAGAAAGAGCAACTTTTGTGCTTCTTGTTGTGCATTTGGAATTTATTTATTTATTCTGCAGTAACAGCAGAGTGACCTTTTAGAAGAGAATAAACCATGAGGTCAAACAAGTGCCCTGATGTCAGGGAGTTTTTGAGATAAGCTGGGGTCACCTTTGAGATCCTGGGCACAACCCAACCTGCCACAATTCCCACAGCAAATGCTGAATTTGTTTTAATCAGAAATGTGTTCTAATTTCCTGTGAAATGTGTTTGTTTCCTAGGCAATGCCGCTCAGAGCTCCCATGTGTGACCCTGCCATCGTCACCTGCTCCTCAGCACCTGCACCTCCCAGTGCCCCCCCGGCATTTCCCAGCTCTGATGGAAAAGCTCCAGCCCAGCCTCCCCTGCAGGCTCAGAGCGGAGCCAGGGCAGCGCCTGAGGCTCCTCCTGCCCCTGGGAAAGCTCCAGACAAAGATCCCAGAGCTCCAGAGCGATCACATCCCGCTAAAATCCCACCCTCCTGCCCACCAGGAGCTTCTGGCAGTAACTCCCAGCACGTCCAGCCCAGCCAGGATCCCTCAGCTCTGCAAGCGAGGCCGCCTGCAATCCCAACCAACAAAAAGCTTCCCAAAAAAATTGGAAATATTTTAGCGAGGCTCCAGAGCATCTTCCCAAACTGCAGCAGGTACTGGGGGGAAGGAGTGCTGTGAAACAAGGGGGGAACAGCCAGGGGTGAAGGGCAGGGAGAGTTGATTTTGTTGTGACGAGGGGGAATGGTTTAAACTGCCAGAGGGCAGGGCTGGGTGGGAGATTGGGAATTGGGAATTGTTCCCTGGCAGGGTGGGCAGGGCTGGGATGGAATTCCACCCCTGGATCCCTGGCAGTGCCCAAGGCCAGGTTGGACACTGGCCATGGCAGGGGTGGAACGGGATGAGCTTTCAGGTCTCTCCCAACCCATTCCACGATTCTGGTGATTGTTCAGGGTTCCATCCTGGATACTGAGGGTCCCTGGGAGCAGTTCCTGGGAATGCTGCTCTCTTTGATGCTGCTGGGATCACACAAGGAGCCTGCAGTGCCCTCCCTGACCCTTTGTCTCCTGTCCCTGCAGCTCGGAGCTCATGGCCTCCATCGTGGAGGTGCAGAGGAGAAACGGGAGCAGCCTGGGCCCCGATGAAATCCTCAGCAAGGCCACGGAGCTCATCCTGGACCAGCAGCTCAAGGTACTGGGGCTGGGGCTGCTCCTCCTCCTCCTCCCGTGGGAAATGGAGCAGCACAGCCCCGGACACAGCTCCTTTGTGCTCCTGTGCAGGCCCCTGCAGCAGGCAGAGCCCTGCACTCCCCAGGCCCTGCTGCCCCCGCCCGGGCCAGGGAAGCGCCCTCGGATGGAATCGGCCGCGGCTCTGCCCGGGCAGCACCTGCCCCCAAACCCTCCGGTGGTAAAAACCCCTCCCAGCCAAACCTGCAGCCCTGGGGCAATGCTGGAGCAATCCCTAAAGCCAAGTGGAGGAAGCAGGACAGTGCTGTAAGTTTGCTGTTTCAGTTGTTTCCATGTGCTTTGTACAAGACTCGAAACAATCCTGGAAAAAAAAAATAATTGCCTGGTTTATTTTGTGTACAAAAGCTTTAATAGCCTTGGTTAAAGTTAATGACTTTGTTAATTGAGTAGAATGTGCTGGTTAATTGCTGATTTTGAAACCTCTGAGTGTTCCTGTCCTGGGCAGGCCTGCAGTGAGGATCCCTGCAGCATCTGTCACGATGAGCTGAGCAGGGACTGCTGTGAGCTCGAGTGTGGCCATCACTTCCACAGAGAGGTGAGCTCTGCTCCTGGTCCTCATCCCCACCTCACAAACAACCCTTTACCCTCCCCTTGCCCTTCAGTTCTGCTCCTGGTCCTCATCCCCACCTCAAACACAACCCCATTCCCTCCCCTCACCCTTGAGTTCTGCTCCTGGTCCTCATCCCCACCTCAAACACAACCCCATTCCCTCCCCTCACCCTTGAGTTCTGCTCCTGGTCCTCATCCCCACCTCAAACACAACCCCATTCCCTCACCTCACCCTTGAGCTCTGCTCCTGGTCCTCATCCCCACCTCACAAACAACCCTTTACCCTCACCTCACCCTTGAGCTCTGCTCCTGGTCCTCATCCCCACCTCAAACACAACCCCTTTACCCTCCCCTGACCCTTCAGTGCCTAAACCACAGGGCACAATCCATTTTCCAGCCCTGACCCACAGGCAGCCTGTCAGAAAGCTTTGGGTGTTCTTAAAGCGAAATGATTCATCAGAGTGGATTTCTGATGATGCTTCAGAGAATGGATTTGGTTGGGATTGCTGGCAGCACACTCAGGGGATGGGTTATCCCTGAAACCTCTGTATTTGCCTCCTGACTCAGGGAATGGTTTATCCCTGAAAACTCTGTATTTGCCTCCTGACTCAGGGAATGGTTTATCCCTGAAACCTCTGTATTTGCCTCCTGACTCAGGGAATGGTTTATCCCTGAAAACTCTGTATTTGCCTCCTGCTGGTGGAAATCATGAAGTAAAAAAGCCAGGGTTGTGTTGGAGTAACTCCGCATTTCCCCCTTCACCTTTTTTGTTTTGATGCTGATTTAACAAACCCGATCAGAGCAGGACAGTTCCACAGCACCGAGATCTGGGGGTGTGAACTCCCTGCAGAGCTCCCCCGTGAGCGGCAGCCATTCCCAGCCTCAGCCGGCCCCCTGTCCCCATTCACCCTGACGCTGTCCCCCTGTCCCCGCAGTGCATCCGGACGTGGCTCCGGCAGCACTCCAGCTGCCCCATCTGCCGCGTGCACGCCCTGCTGCCCGAGGACTTCCCCGAGCTGCCGGCCTGGAACAAGCCCAGCTGAGCCTCCCTCCCTCCTCCTGCACAGCTCCAGCTGGGAAGGGGCTGCAGCAGCGCTGGGGGACAGGACACAACCCCGGATTCACTGGCCATGGGAGCAGATCTGGGGTTTCGCTCCAAGATCCAGGATTGCTCCTGGTTCCTGCCGGGCAGCGCTGCTGCATTTTTGGCTAAGGGACGCTGAAAGTACCAAATTCTTTTAGCAGTGCATCATTCCTGTGCATCATTCCTGTGCTTTTCCCTCAGATTTATTCCAATATCAAACAAGTAGGTGACCCAAAGGATGGACCAACAGAATTGGAAATCAAACATTCCCTTGGGCATGGACACTCCAGGATTCCAGCCTGGTGTGGTCTTTGCAGCTCCTCTCTCTGCACAAACCCACAGCTGAGAGCTCAAATTGTTTAAATAATGACTTTCAGTCGCTTTTTGAAGCAAGAATTTTAAATTCTTCATTTGGATCCGTTTTTAAATCTCAAAATAAGATTGAAATTTGAATTTCCCTCCTTTTTGTTTAAAAAAGGAGGGAAATTTCCCTCCTGATCTGTTTAAATGGGAAGGATTTTTTAAAATTATTTTTAAAGGATTTTTAAGTGACACTTCCTCTGTATTTTGTGCAGGAATGGGCACCAGTAGCAGGAGGGGCAGAATTCCAACAGCTCAGGGAATTTTCTCCCACTATTTTATGAGTCTGAAGTGGCCAGAGAACTTTTCACAAAGACAAATTTGTCCCAAACAGCCAAAGGTGAGGACCAGAGCCTGAGAATCTTGAAATTAAACCCAATATTCCGAATCCAGGGAGCACCACATGGATTAGGAGCCCTTGGCTAATTCCAGGGATCACTTGTCCCCCACACTGCTTGACTCCTCCAGCTGAAGTTTTTAACTCCTCTCTCATTAATCAGTGTATTACTTACCGCTTTAATAAAAAATAAAATTGCTTCTGCAGCCAAACACGTTGTTTCTGTGTAGTATTTCAGCTCACTCTGAGTTAGGGGTGAGTAACTGCTCTGTGCTGTAGAATTAAAGCCAAAAAATTCCAGCACTGGAATCCTTTTCAGCTTCCTGTATTTTTGGGGGGGTGCAGCTCTTCCCCAAATCCCCCTGGTCTCAGGGAAAAGTGCTGAGTTTCAGTAAATACCATTTTCAGTAAATACAATTTTCAGTAAATACCATTTTCAGTAAATACAATTTTCAGTAAATACCATTTTCAGTAAATACCATTTCCCTGCCCCTTCCCAGACATTGAAATGAAAATTTCAGCTTTTCCTTCCTGAAACACCAAAACCCAAACTGGGATTACATTGTCCTGCTTGGCACTGCTGCTGGACAAACCAAAGGAAATGATTCTTCTCAGTTTTCTCAATTCTGCATTTTTAGGTGCTGATCTTTACACTTCCAATGCCCATAATCCAGCCTGAGCCTGCCTCTGCCCCACATGGAAAATTAATGGAAAATCCACAAGTTGTGGCTGTTCCATGAAAACAACATCAAAATCCACAACTTGTTTGTGTTGGGAAGGTTATTTCTTACTGAATTAATTTTCCTTTAAGCTGCACAGTCACAAACACATTAATTAATTCCTCCAATTAATTCCTCCTGGTCCCAATTTGACCAAAATTTCCTTGGTGTGATTTGAAATCACTCATTTCCCATCCACCCTGGGCCAGATCCCACAGCACCACCTTCCAGAGCTGCAGCACCATTTTTTAGACCTTCAAAGACCTTATTTCTCATTCTGTCACAATTCCCACACCCTCCCAGTACGGCTGGAATGGGATTTATGAGTTTTAAGGGGGCTTCAAAGGACTTTAGAACAAATATTACAAAATTAAGCCAAGAGAGGAACTTGCTCCATTACTTCTACAAGCTGTAGAAAGCTCCAGAATGATTCCTTCAGGATTTTCCTGAAAAAAAAAATCTGGGGAAAACATGATTGTTGAAGGCAGCAGGATTGGGAACTGCAGCGAGGCAAAGTCTTGGTCAGGTTAGCAGGGAGAGGAAGCACAAGAAAGGAGTGAGGTGGCCCCAGCTGAAGTCGGGCATGGACAAAGTTCCACTTTCCCTCAGAGGAATTCCCAGGAAATCCTTCCTGCCGCTCCTGTGGCTGCTCACATCCTGCAGAGCTTCAGGGGGAAGTTCTCTGTGATGAGGTGGTCGTCGTGCAGGAGCACCACGATGTTCACTTCAAACTCTGGGAGGGGGAAAAGAGAGAGGGAATTCCATGGGAAACTGAACAATATCAGCAATCCTGCTTCAACTCCACAGGAAACTGAATTCCAGGAACAATCCTGCTTCAATTCCATAGAAAAGCTGAATCCTGGGAACAATCCTGCTTCAATTCCACAAGAATTGAATCCTAGCAGCAATCCTGCTTCAATTCCACAGGAAAGCTCAATCCTAGCAGCAACCCTGCTTACATTCCAAAGGAAAGCTGAATCCTAGCAGCAATCCTGCTTAAATTCCACAAAAATCTGAATCCTAGCAGCAATCCTGCTTAAATTCCACAAAAATCTGAATCCTAGCAGCAATCCTGCTTAAATTCCACAAAAAACTGAATCCTAGCAGCAATCCTGCTTGAATTCCACAGGAAAGGTGAATGTTAGGAACAATCCTGCTTGAATTCCACAGGAAAGCTCGATCCTAGCGTCAATCCTGCTTCAATTCCATAGAAAATCTGAATTCTAGCAACAATCCTACTTTGAACTCCATAGAAAAGCTGAATCCTAGCAGCAATCCTGCTTTAATTCCACAGAAAGCTGAATCCTAGGAACAATCCTGTCTCAATTCCACAGGAAAGTGAATCCTGGGAACAATCCTGCTTCAATTTCACAGAAAGCTGAATCCTAGGAACAATCCTGCCTCAATCCCACCCGAAACTGAATGCTAGGAACAATCCTGCTTCAACCCCACAGGAAACTGAATTCCTACTTGAATTCCACAGGAAAGCTCAATCCTAGAAACAATCCTGCTTGAGTTCCATGGAAAAGCTGAATCCTAGAAGCAATCCTGCATTAATTCCACAGGAAAGCTGAATGTTAGGAACAATCCTACCTGAATTCCACAAGAAGCTGAATCCTAGCAGCAATCCTGCTTCAATTCCACTGGAAACTGAATCCTAGTAACAATCCAACTGGAATTCCACATGAAAGCTGAATCCTAGCAGCAATCCTGCCTAAATTCCACAAAAAACTGAATCCTAGCAGCAATCCTGCTTGAATTCCATGGAAAAGCTGAATCCTAGCAGCAATCCTGCTTGAATTCCATGGAAAAGCTGAATCCTAGGAACAATCCTGCTTGAATTCCACAGGAAAGCTGAATCCTAGGAGCAATCCTGCCTCAACTCCACCCGAAACTGAATCCTAGGAACAATCCTCCTTCAATTCCACAGGAAAGCTCAATCCTAGCAGCAATCCTGCTTCAATTCCACTGGAAACTGAATCCTAGCAACAATCCTGCTTCAATTCCACTGGAAACTGAATCCTAGCAACAATCCTGCTTCAATTCCACAGGAAAGTGAATCCTGGGAACAATCCTGCTTCAATTCCACAGGAAAGTGAATCCTGGGAACAATCCTGCTTCAATTCCACAGGAAAGCTGAATCTTAGGAACAATCCTGCCTCAATTCCACAGGAAAGCTCAATCTTAGCAGCAATCCTACTTGAACTGCACAGGAAAGCTGAATCTCCAGAACAATCCTGCTTCAATTCCATAGAAAATTGAATCCTAGCAGCAATCCTGCTTCAGTTCCACAGGAAGCTGAATTATGGGAACAATCCCACCTGAATTCCACAGGAAAGCTGAATCCTAGCAGCAATCCTGCTTAAATTCCACAGGAAAAGTGAATCCTAGGAACAATCCTACTTGAATTCCACAGAAAGCGGAATCCTAGGAACAATTCTACCTCAGTTCCACAGGAAAGTTGAATTTTAGGCATAATCCTGCTTCAGTTCCACAGGAAAGCTGAATCCTAGGAACAATCCTACTTGAACTCCACAGGAAAATGAATCCTAGCAGCAATCCTGCTTCAGTTCCACAGGAAAGCTGAATCCTAGCAGCAATCTTGCTTCAATTCCATAGAAAACTGAATCCCAGGAAAAATCCTGCTTCAGTTCCACAGGAAAGCTCAACCCTAGGAACAATCCTACTTGAACTCCATAGAAAAACTGAATCCTAGGAGCAATCCTGCTTTAATTCCACAGGAAAGCTGAATCTACCAGCAGGATGAGGCAGCAGCTCCTGAAACATTCCATCAGAACCTCACCCAGGCATCCCAGCCATGGGACCACTCCTAGAAAATCCTGCTGTGTTGTAATCTTATGGGATTCCTCTGGATTGTTTTTATCACTGATAAATTATGGCAAACAATCCTCTGGAAAAGAAGATTCACACATAAAAGAATAAAATGTTTTGGGAAAAACACCCCCACCAAGATGGTGCTTAAAGCACGGAATGGGAGAATTCCAGGACAGATCCATTGCCTGATTCCAGCATGTGACAGCCCTGGGAAATGAAATACTGGAATGCAACAGGCCTGCAAACTGGGGAGCAAAAATTCCAGAAAAAAATCTGCTCTTAGGTACTACACTGTGTCCTTCAAAGCTAAAAATCAGTATCAGATCAATAATCAATCCTAAATAGAGACAGACCAAAAAGCCAGGCAGAGTTAATAAGTGAAGGGAAGCAGAAATAAAAATAAATTTAAATTCTCATTGTAAATTGCTAGTGAAGAGCTTAAAATGACAAAACCAAATTATTATTTTGGGGGAAACCACTGCACACAGATTCTGTGCCAACAGATTCCAGCAGGATGGAGGCAAGAAATACAAACCAGCCAAGTGGATTCTTGCAGTACTTATTTGAACAAGTGAGGAAAATCCTGGTTTTGTCAATAAAAATACTGATTTTGTTAATAAAAATCCTGATTTTGACAACAATCAGCAGGGAGGAGCACGTGGTGTAGGTAACAGAATCACACCCTGCCCAACCTTGCTGCTTGCAGGGCGCTCAGCAGGACAGACAGAAACAGAAAGGAGAATGTCGCAGACATTTTTCACAGAAATCCTTTCTTTCAGATTTGTCCATTTTCTGGGAAGCTGAGGCCCCAGAGGAGAATGTAAACAATTGTTATCAGCTGCTGTGGATGCAATGGGATGCACCTGGGATTGGTTCATGTTCCATGTTTTTAATTAAGGACCAATCACAGGAGCAAGCTGGGGACAGAGTCCCTGGACACAACTTTGTTAGAGATTCTTTCTTTCCATTCTTAGCTGAGCAGCCTCTGCAACTTCTCTCTTTATTCTATTTAGTATAGTAATAATGTATTATATATCATATATCAATAAATCCAGCCTTCTGATCAAGAAACAAGATTCCCGTCCTTCTCTCACCCCAGCGACCACCTCAGGTCGCTGTAATAGGAGAAGAAATGGAAAGGGAGGTTCTCACTGGTGAGGAAAAGAGGGAATTTCATTCTTGGACTACTCCTCAAGTGTTTAATCAGGTGACCTGTATTCCAGTGCTGCTCCTGGAATTTTGTTAGGAGCGGCTGCACAGCAGTTTGTGTTGGAAATGCAGCAGCACTCAGGGAAGCTCAGGGATGTGCTGGGCTCCTCCTGCAGCTCTGCTGGATTTGTCCCTCACTGCCCATGGAAGGGAATGGACGTGGCCACTCCTGTGCCAGGAACAGTCCCCACTCACCCACTTTGAAGTTGGTGGTCTCCAGGGTGGGGCAGGTGAAGAGCCTGGGGAACACCATGTGGATGGGGATGGGGAGGCCCCTGCAGACGTCGCCGTCGGCGATCTGGATGTTCTGGATCTCCGTGGCATCCCTGGCATAGCCCTCAGCACACCCTGGAGGGGGAAATGGGAGAGCTGAGAGAGAGCAGCAGCCAAAATTCACAGCGGAGAGATGCTGGAACCCTGGATACTGAGGATTACAGGCACTGACCCCCAGGAGAACACTGCACTGACCTGAGGCCCTGGAGAAGCTTCCAAAATTCAATAATAAAATGAGATTATAGGTGTGGAGTTTGGATAGAAGTGTGTGATATCACAGGGTGGGAAACTCAGAGTTTCAGGGTTTAGAATACAGGGATAGATAAAAAGCAAGGTGGAGGTTTAGGGTGGAGGCTGCTCCATCCCTTCTGACTTCACCATCAGCTGTGTCAGACTCTGAGGAGTCAGTCACGAGGTTTTCATGATCATTCTTGTTAAACCTTCTGTCTGTATCCGTTCTCTTTCTGTAGTATAGTTTTAGTATAGCATTCTTTTATATAATATAATATAATATAATATAATATAATATAATATAATGTAATAGAATGTAATAGAATGCAATAGAATGTAATGTAATGTAATATAATATAATATAATATAATATAATTAATATAATTAATATAATGTAATATAATGTAACATAACTTAATATAATGTAACATAACATAACATAATGTAACCTAACGTAATATAACATAATATAATATAACGTAATATAACGTAATATAATATAACATAATATAATATAATATAATATAACGTAATATAACGTAATATAATATAACATAATATAATATAATATAATATAATATAATATAATATAATATAATAAAATATTATGTAATAGGACCTAATATAATATAATAATAAATCAGTCTTCTGAGAACATGGAGTCAGATTCTCATCTCTACCCTCATCCTGGGGACCCTCACAAACCCCACAATTTCATTTTTACTTTTTTCCCTTAATACAGACCTGTTATTCCTGCTCCCACATCTTTACCCGAGTGCCCCTAAATTTCCAATTTACAACAATTCAGCGGGAGAGCGTTTCCATTTCCCATTCAGGGCAGGCTCTGCCTGCTCCCAGCCAGCTGGCTCTGCAGAGCAGCTCACAGGGGCTGCAGGGGTGCTGCAGGGGTGCTGCTGCAGGGGTGCTGCTGCAGGGGTTGCTGCTGCAGGGGGTGCTGCAGGGGGTTGCTCCCCTCACTGCAGGGTTGCTGCTGCAGGGGGTGCTGCTGCAGGGGGTGCTGCAGGGGTGCTGCAGGGGTGCTGCAGGGGTGCTGCAGGGGTTGCTGCTGCAGGGGTGCTGCAGGGGGTGCTGCAGGGGTGCTGCTGCAGGGGTTGCTCCCCTCACTGCAGGGTTGCTGCTGCAGGGGTGCTGCAGGGGTGCTGCAGGCTGCTCCAGCCCCGCGCTCACCGCAGGTCTCCACACGCACGAGCTGCAGCTCGATGCTCCTGACGGCCGCCTCGGCGCTCTCCACCTGCAGCTCCCCCGTCAGCGGCTGCGTGATCACGCAGTTGGTGGAGTTCAGGTGCCCTCGGATCAGGAACTTGGGCAGGGAGGCTCTCTGAAATGGTTGGAGGAAAGAGAAAATGATGGTAAAATGAAGAGCAGATTGAGGAAAAATAAATGTTAAAACGAGTAGGAAATTAGCCAGTGGTCTCAAAGTCGCGAATGCAAGAGTTCAGAAGTCCCTGAGGGAGCTTGAATTGATTTCTGGCACTCTGTACCAGGATTTCTCCTACAATATTCTCTCCTGACACCTGTCCTTCCTGCTCCTCCATCCACCCATGGATGGGCCTTTCCTGGGAAGGACTGCCAGACCTTGGCTGTTAGAATTCATGCAGGAGCTGGGGATGGAGCGGGGACACCTCCCACTGTCCCAGGTGCTGCCAGCCCCGTGTCCCACCCTGGGCACTGCCAGGGATGCAGGGATGGAATTCCATCCCAGCCCCTCCTAGGGAACAATTGCTCATTCCCAATATCCCACCCAGCCCTGCCCTCCCTGAGGCTTCCCAAAGCCACAGAGGGCTGTAAAAAAAGGCACAAACAAGGCTCAAAATCCACATTTTTAAAGGCTCTTGGCTGTCCATGTATAGAATGGTTTCCCTTGCTTCACTGCCATTTTTCACTCAGAAAAGGAATAAAAATATTTAACCACTCCTGAGCAAAATTCCACCTTCAGTTGGTTACCACAGTGCAAGAGATGAGGGAGAATCACCTGATTGCTTATAAAAGTGAAAAAGAAATAGAAAAACAAAACAAGATAATCTGCCTGATAATCTAGAAGACAGAACTTAATCACTCCTCTGGTCTCACTCAGAAACACGCAAAGTTCACATTTAAAATAAAATAAGAAGACAATCCTTTTACCTCTTTGACATTTTGCAGAGTTTCAGGAGTAATGGTGAAGTCCACAGGGCTGGGCAGCAGCTTCCCTTTCTGTGACTGCAGGGAGGGGAAGGGTTAAACTGAAATCTGATCCCCAAAACAGAGAGAGAACATTAAAAACCACAGCAGCTGGCTGCCCTAAACCACCTGGAAAAGCAGGAATCCCCTCCCCATCTGAGCAGAGAGGGGAAAAAGCTCAATTTCCCATTTCTTGAAGTACAAATAAATTCATTGCACATGTCCCTTGGAATGTTTCCTTTCATTATGAAATTTGGGGAGTGGAGATTCCAAATGAAGTTGTGTCCATTGCTTCAAACCTGCTTTAGAAATTCTTGTTCTCCAGCAGCAAGGGGCTGATCTGGACTCTGAGTGAGGATCTGCCCTCACTGCTCAGGAATTCAAACTAGCTGCTGCTGCCCAGCTGCAAGATGGAGGAGATTAGCAAAAGACTGGCTGCATTTTCCCAAAATGACAAATTCTGGCACAGAACAGGCTGGAGGGAAACGGGACATTGAGCAGTGACAGTGAGAACTGTGTGTTCAGTAAAACCCCATTAATTCACCCTGACTGGGAGATCCATGATTTACTGACTGGTGAGCTCAGAAGTGCTGCAGTGGGAACAAGAAACAAACCCAGGAACGCTGCAGGAGATGGGATTTGTCACTGCTCTGACACGTGAGGCTCACTTAGAAATGTCATAATGGACCAATAAAATGCAGCATCAGATATTGCAGAAAACACTGAAATCTCACCAACAGGAAACTTGTTCGTAACACCAAACTACATCTTTTAAAAAGTTACTTCAGAACTAAAATAACATTTCCACCACAAGTCCATCCCATTTTCTGGGAGTCCAACCTCCTGCCATGAGGATTAGGATTAGAAACAAGAATTACAAACTCGAGAATTAGGAATTAGAACCGAGTTTTCCCTTGTTTCCCTTGCAGGGCACTGGAATGAGCTCTCAGGGAGGTGCTGGAGTCCCTGGGAGAGCTCAGGGCCTGGATGTGGGACAGGGTTTGGGGCGAGGATGGGATTGCATCACCCTGAAGGTCTCTGCCCCATCTTTCCATGATTTCCACCTGGATGAGAACTCCTGAGGAACAGAAATCAGGATTTTCACCTGAACAGAAATCAGGGAGTTTCACCTGTGGAACAGAAATCAGGATTTTCACCTAAGAACAGAAATCAGGATTTTCACCTGAACAGAAATCAGGATTTTCACCTGAGGAACAGAAATCAGGGATTTTCACATGAAAAACAGAAATCAGGGATTTTCACCTGGAGAACAGAAATCAGGATTTTCACCTGAACAGAAATCAGGGAGTTTCACCTGTGGAACAGAAATCAGGATTTTCACCTGAACAGAAATCAGGGATTTTCACCTGTGGAACAGAAATCAGGGATTTTCACCTAAGAACAGAAATCAGGATTTTCACCTGAACAGAAATCAGGGATTTTCACCTGTGGAACAGAAATCAGGGATTTTCACCTGTGGAACAGAAATCAGGATTTTCACCTGAAGAACAGAAATCAGGGATTTTCACCTGAACAGAAATCAGGATTTTCACCTGTGGAACAGAAATCAGGGATTTTCACCTGAGGAACAGAAATCAGGATTTTCACCTGAGGAACAGAAATCAGGGATTTTCACATGAAAAACAGAAATCAGGGATTTTCACCTGAGGAACAGAAATCAGGATTTTCACCTGAGGAACAGAAATCAGGGATTTTCACATGAAAAACAGAAATCAGGGATTTTCACCTTAGGAACAGAAATCAGGATTTTCACCTGTGGAACAGAAATCAGGGATTTTCACCTGAGGAACAGAAATCAGGATTTTCACCTGAGGAACAGAAATCAGGGATTTTCACATGAAAAACAGAAATCAGGGATTTTCACCTTAGGAACAGAAATCAGGATTTTCACCTGAGGAACAGAAATCAGGGATTTTCACATGAAAAACAGAAATCAGGGATTTTCACCTTAGGAACAGAAATCAGGATTTTCACCTGAGGAACAGAAATCAGGGATTTTCACCTAAATAGAAATCAAGGATTTTCACCTGAAGAACAGAAATCAGGATTTTCACCACCCAACTCCCATTTCCAGCACTGGGGGTGCCTGGAAGCTTTTCCTCAGAACTGCTGGGATAATCCAAAGCAGTGCTTGGAAAAATGCCATCAGATTTATGTCACCTCCCCATTGTCCCAGAACTCCAAGGATGAACAAGAGAATGAACTCAGGGCACTGTAAAACATCTGAAAATCCAACTCCTCTCTGTTCTTTGAGAGAGGGATGGGTTTTCTCATCAGAAGCAACAGCTCTTTGGGGTGGCTTTGTTTTGGGGCAGATTTCCTGTACTCCTCTATTTTGGACTCAGGGTGGGATTTTGGGGTGTCCTGTGCAGGGCCAGGAGTTGGGTTTGATGATTTTTGGGGTTTTTTCCAACTCAGGATATTCTGAATTTACACCTCTGTAATCCCTCGTGTCACCATCACAATTTCCATGGGTTTATTTGGGGGTTTTTTTTGCCCTTAAAGCGAAGTGGGGAGAAAATAATAAATTTTAAAAAAATTAATAAATTGCAAAATGAACAGAAAGCACACTCACCAGGGAGTGGACAATGAACTCACAGGTCTTGGTCAGGTCCTTTGCCAGCAGGGAACGCCTCATGTCACAGCGCAGGGTGTACTGGGGAAGGGATGGAAAAGGGGAAAAAGGGGGGAAAAAGGGGAAAAAAGGGGGAAAAAGGGGGAAAAAGGGGGGGAAAGGGGGGAAAGGGGGGGGGAAAGGGGGAGAAAGGGGGCGGGAAGGGGGGAAAAAGGGGATAAAGGGGGGAAGGGGTGGAAAAGGGGAAAAAGGGGGAAAAAAGGGGGAAAAGGGGGGAAAGGGGAAAAAAGGGGAAAAAGCGGGGAAAAGGGGGGGAAAAGGGGAAAAAGGGGAAAAAAGGGGAAAAAAGGGGGGAAAAGGGGAGAAAAGGGGGAAAAAGGGGGAAAAAGGGGGGAAAAGGGGGGAAAAGGGGGGAAAAGGGGGGAAAGGGGGGAAAGGGGGAAAGGGGGAAAAAGGGGGGAAGGGGGAAAAGGGGAAAAGGGGGGAAAAAAGGGGAAAAGGGGTAACAAGGGGAAAAGAGGGGAAAAAAGGGGAAGGAAAAAAGGGAAAAGGGGAGGAAAAAGGGGGGAAAAGGGGGAAAAAAGGGGAAAAAGGGGGAAAAGGGGGAAAAGGGGGGGCAAGGGGGAAAAAGGGGGAAAAAGGGGGAAAAGGGGGGAAAAAGGGGGGGAAAAGGGGGGGAAAAAAGGGGGGAAAAGGGGGAAAAGGGGAGGAAAATGGAAAAAGGGGGGGGAAGGGAAAAGGGGGGAGAAAAGGGGGAGGAAAGGGGGGAAAAGGGGGGGAAAAGAAAAGCTTTAATTCAGATTTTCTCCCTCCTTCCCAACTTTTCACCCCCCTTCTGCCTCTGTGCAGTGTTGTTGCTGTAATGTCCATTTAAGGGTGATTTTTCAGCCTGTTTTAGTTAAGGGATTATCAGTCTGATGTATTTTTATATTTTGTATTTTTGTCTTCAGCCTCTCTCATTTTGATTTTTTTATTGTGGGATTGAATTCCCAGTTGTTGGGATTTTCATGGGGACCTTCAGCCACACAGCAGCACTAAAATCAGGCAAGGAAGGGAATTTGCTTCCAATTTGCTGCCCTAAAATGGGAGCCATGAACCAGCAGATGAAAATCAGTAAGAATTTGGTTATCTCAAAAATCCCACACTTCATCTCCAAAAAAAACTTTTCAGTGTCCTTACAGGACAGGGAACTTGTTGGGTTTTTGTTTTGTTTGATTTTTAATTCCTCCCTCACACCAAGATTTGGGTTCTTCACTTGTGGCTCATGGCACAACCACCCAGCAGTGTCTGATTAAAGGTTAAACTGAGATTGAATCCATAATTAATCTTTAAATCAAGAAAGAGAGGCTCAATTAAACTGCCCAGAGGTTTAGCAAGTGGCTCTTAACCAGCACATCAGTGTCACAATTTTGGCTGAAATTCAAATTATGAAATTTTAATGGTATTTTATCCAAGAAAAGCTCCACAGAGGATAGAAAGAATGATAAAATAAAGCAAATATTCCTCATTGAAGTGCAGCTCAAAGTGACTGATCACAGCACGTTCTTTGGGATATGGGAAGCAGCTCAGCCAGGGCTGCTCCATTTCTGCCATCCCCACCACAAACAACGGCTGCTGCATGAGGGAAGAAGCCAAAACTGAGCAAATAAATTGAAATATTAAAAAACCATCCAAACAGACTAAAAACAAGGGATATTTTCCTTTTAGTTACTTCTGATAGGTTGCTGGGGGGTGATTTGGTTTATTAGTTTTTTTTAATTTCAGTGACATCAAACTTCATTGTCTGGCAGGAATTTACCTCCAAGAGATGGCTGGAGAAAGACTTTCCCCCTAAAAACCACCAAAAATCACCCAAACAACCCAACCCACCTATGGTAAGGCAAGTTTAAACCAAAAAAGATCAAATTTCTCAAATTTCAGAACTGTATTTCCACAAGAGTGTGTCCAAGCAGGTATTCCATGCAGGTCTGGGCAGGGAATTTCGCTCCTCCTCATCCCAAACAATTCCTGATTTGTGCTGCTCTCAACACCACGTGAAATCACACATTTATTGGGAATACAACCACACTGGGGTGCTGGGTTTTTTTTCAGGAAGGGAATGGAAAGAGTTTCCTACAACACCAGGATGGATCAGATTTAGGTTAAAGATGTTCTGCTGAAATATTTCAGGTTAAACATCTTGTTGGTGCCATAATTCCTTTAGGATTTACTGCATAAAGGGTGGAAGGCTCAATCAGAATGAAAAGAAAACATCACCAAACTTCATCCTCAATCCCTATGGATTAAGAGCTGCATTTTTCCATGGATCAAATTTAGGTTACAGATGTTCTGCTGAAATATTTCAGGTTAAACATTTTGTTTGTCCCAGCATTCCTTGAAGATTTACTGCATAAAGGGGGGAAGGCTCAGTGTGAAAAGAAACCACCAAACTTCACCCTCAATTTCTATGGATTTAGAGCTGCATTTTTCCATGGATCAGATTTAGGTTACAGATGTTCTGCAGAAATATTTCACGTAAAACATTTTGTTTGTGCCATAATTCCTTTAGGATTTACTGCATAAAGGGTGGAAGGCTCAGTCAGTGTGAAAAGAAACCACCAAACTTCACCCTCAATTCCATGGATTCAGAGCTGCTTCAGAAGCCACTGTGCAGATGAAATTTCCCGTTTTCCCTCCTCACCTGGATGTTGACAAAGACTCCATGGTATGTCTCATACAGAACCTTGTTGCCCTTCATCTGCAGCGGGAATTCAAAGGGAATTTCTGTTTTGCCACTGGGGAGCTTCCCTGGTTTCACCATCTCAATGGTGCTGCTGATGATCTGAATGGGCTGCAGGGAGAAATGGCAGAGAGGTTTAGGGTGAGACACAGAACCAACAACATCTGAACTCCTCCAGAATTCCTGCATTTCCACAATCCCAGGGATTTCTTCAGGACACAAAGTGCTGGGATATTTTTTGACAATGGATAGAAACATTAATATTTTGCTCAAGAAAACAATCCCTATTTTAGGGGTGCATCACATTAATGACCAAAGATATTCAGGGAGCTCACCAGGAGCAGCTCCAGCTTTGGGAAATGGAGATTCCTTTCCTAAATGATCACCCTGAAGAGGAGCAGGAATGACCAAGGCCACTGAGCATCCCCCCTGACCTCTGCATAATTATTATTTGAAGGAGATCTCTCACCACAAGGAGGATTAACTGTGAGGGGCTGGCTTGGACATTTCTTTCTTTCATTTCCTTTCTCTCTGAAGTTTTGCCATTCTTGTCCCCAACTCTTGGGCTCCCAAAACAAGAGGGAAGTGGAGCTGTTGGTGAGTCCAGGAGGCCCCAAAACTGATCCCAGGGCTGGAGCCAGGCTGGGAGTGCTCACCTGGAGAAGGGAAAACTCCAAAGCTGCAGGGAGAGCTCAGAGCCCTGCCAGGCCTGAAGGGGCTCCAGGAGAACTGGACGGGGACTGGGGACAGGGATGGAGGGACAGCACACAGGGAATGGCTTCAAAGGAGGATTTGATGGGATCCTGGCAATGAGGAATTGTTCCCTGGCAGGGTGGGCAGGGCTGGGGTGGAATTCCATCCCTGGATCCCTGGCAGTGCCCAAGGCCAGGCTGGACACTGGGGACAGTGGGAGGTGTCCCTGCCAAGGCAGGGGTGGCCCTGGGTGGGCTTTGAGGTCCCTTCTGCCCCAAACCTTCTGTGACTCCCTGATTCAAGGCCATCCATCCTCACTTAACCAAACCCTTCCCACCAGCCCAGCCCTGTCCCTGGGGAGCAGCCCAGAGCCCTCCCAGGAGCTCCACAGGTCCCACTCTCTCTTGTCTCACACCCAGGAACCCCTGCATGGCCTCCACAGGCAGTGGCTGATCTGGCACAGAAGGCCAGTTAAACCCAGTCACTATAACAAAAATAAATTAACATCACACAGTAATTATTTTTCTATAAATCACAGATTCAGTGCATCATCCAGTAACCCTTTTTATCTACCTGAAATAAAGATCTCCTACCAGTGTGATTTAATTCCTAAAATGTCCTCATTTATCCCTCCCTGGGATATCCCAGAGTTTCTGGACACACAGTAATTGTTTTTCCATAAATCCCAGATTCAGTGCATCATCCAGTAACCCTTTTTGCCCACCTGAAATAAAAATCACCAGTGTGATTTAATTCCTAAAATGTCCTCATTTATCCCTCCCTGGGATATCCCAGAGTTCCCGGACCCAGCCCTGTGCTCTGGGAGGTGACAGCAGTGACCCCTGTGCTCCCCTCCAGCCTGACCCATCCTGGCACTCTGTGATTCACACAGAGCTGAGCCTTCCCTGCTCTCCATCACTTCCACAGCACGAGCAGCTCTGACACCTGTGAGAGTCTGTCCCAATTTTCCCTCATCTGCCTCACGATCGTCCTTGGGAGCCCACTGAAGAGAAGACCCCCCCCTGGTCTATATCTGGCTCTGAAGGAGAAAAGTCACAGCCACGGGCCCTGAGAGCTGAAAGCTCAGCGTTGAGCTGTTGTTTTCACAGGAGTGTTTGCTGTAAGAGGGCACCGTGCCCCGTTTGCAACAACAGCAGCTCTGGGAGCTGTCCCAGCTCTCGGCCTGGCTGGACTTCTCCTGAGTCTCAGGTGGTCTCCCACAGAAGACCCTCGCCTGTTCCACAACCACCGTGACAGACTGACTGAGATGTGAGAAGCTTTTCCATCAAGGACTGAGACATGAAACTCCTAACAGGCCGCTCTGCTCCTTCCAAGGACTGGGACTGACACCCCCAGCCCAGGGGAGGTGTGTGGGGAGGCAAGCTGACCGAAGCGAGATGTTTGCCTGCAGGTTGTGACCACTGGAGCAAGAGAACAATGGCTCTCATTTATCTGTTTCCCCCCCCCCTCACAAATTTCAGTAATAAAAACCTCTGAGTTAGCCAGAGCCTTTGAGATCTCCCCAGCGTAGCGGGCGGACCCTCGGCTGGACTGCACCAAAGGACTTCATCTCTGCGTTGGCAGCTATATCCCCCCTCTCTCTCTCTCTCTTTTTCTCTCCCTTAATCCCTCCATCGCATTTTTGCTGTGGTTATTTCAATAAAACTGCATTTGATTTGATTATCACTGCAAACCCCCTTGTACCGTGTTGGTGTTTTGCACTCTGAGATCATTCCTACGAACCATCAGGTCATCTGTCCGCTAGGACGGACCCTGACAACACCTGAGAGCCTTGAGGGAAAGGTTCCACTTGAGCAAAGAGAGTTTTCTGTGCCAAAATCATCCACCAGGGCAGCCTTACCTTGGCAGTGTTGCAGAAGGCCTCAAACACCCCCACATTTTTGGCACTGAGCTGCAGATTCACCGAGCCCTCCATGGTTAAGGAGATCCCCTGGTGCTGCACCGTGTCCTTGCTGGTTATCACCACCACCCCAGAAAGGATTTCCTAAGAGGAAAGAGGAAAATTTTTGTTTAAATCCATTTTTTCATAGCTGTTATCCAAACAGCCTGGAACTGATCTCCAAACTCCAAAAAACTCCTGTGCCCAAAGCATGGTGCAACCTTGTCAGGACAGACAAACAAAAAAAATCCTTCCTTCCTGATGAAGGGATTTAGGATGAGACAGAGAAACAACATCATCTCAACTCTACCAGAATTCCTGGATTTCCAGAATCCCAGGCTCAGGATCAGAACCCCAAGCTCAGATGAGAGCTCTGCACTTTTGGTTTTTCCTTAAAAATATCATCCTCCTCTTGGCTGAAGTATTAACCTGAGCTTCAACTTCTTCCCCCAATTTCAAGGTTTTTTCTGTCCAGGAAGATGGAAAACCTTTATTTTGGGTCAAGTTGTGTTTGTGTTGGAATAAACAAAAGTTGTGTTTGTGTTGGAATAAGCCGCCAGGAGGAACTGCTGTATGAAAATTGGGATGGTCAGCACAGGAGAGAGAAGAAAATGCACAACTGGAGAAGGGATGGCCAAGCTGAGGGTGAGATTCACCTCCAGAGTGGAGCAGAAGAGATTTAAAATATAAAAAATAAACACAAAGAAAGTTTTGAAGTGAATCTGAATGAAAGGCAGGAGCTGTGTGACTCCTGGGATGTTGTCACTCATCCCATGAAGGATGTGCTGTCCACAAAAATCCCTTTGCACAAAAATGCTGCATCCTCAAAGTGGTTTATCCTTCCCTTCTCCCACACTGCAGAATCTCCTTCCATCCTGAAATATTCCCAGCTGGAAAGGGCTGAGAACTGGAGAATTCCCTGAGCTCCTCCCCTGCTCCTTCCCCAAGCCATGGGACAACCCCAACTGTTCCCTCTGCACCCAACCTCTCCAGACCAGGATCCCTCCTGCACAATGGGAATTTTGGCACATTTCTGTCTTTCCTGAGATGTTGTCACTCATGCCATGAAGGATGCGCTGTCCACAAAAATCCCTCTGCACAAAAATGCTGCATCCTCCAAGTGTCAGCTCAGAGTTTTTAACACTTACAACCTGGTAAACTGCAGGAGAGCAGATTCCATGGTTATCCATACAGAATCTCCTTCCATCCTGAAATATTCCCAGCTGGAAAGGGCTGAGAACTGGAGAATTCCCTGAGCTCCTCCCCTGCTCCTTCCCCAGACAAGGAACAGCTCCCTCCAGCCACGGGACAACCCCAACTGCTCCCTCTGCACCCAGCCTCTCCAAACCAGCATCTCTCCTGCACAATGGGAATTTTGGCAGATTTCTGTCTTTCCTGGTGGCAAAAATGGGTCAGGAGGGTTGAGGCAGCAGGCAAACATCCCCATCCAAGCAAGGGTGAGACCCTGAGAGCCTGGGAAGAGGAAGTGCAGCAAGTGGGGAATGCTGGAACAGGGGCACAAAGGGACAGCGAAGAAAAGCCGACCTCAATTCTGCACTGCTCTGCTCAGGGGCCTTAATTAGCACAAGCAATTAGGCTATTGCTTTAAAAACGAGCCCAGCTCAGCTCTGAGAAGCAAGGACAGCCTGAAGATGTGAACTGCTTTAACAAAGGAGATGTTTCCTGTCACACAGCAACAACTGCAGAGCTGCTGCCTGCACGTGGGAAGGGGCAGGGAGGGGAAGGATGGCTGGAAGTTCAATATCAAATTTGCTTTCAATATTTCTTAAGAAATGCAAAAAAAAGCTCAAAATTCTGATTCCCCACCTGCAGAGCTGCCCCAGCGCAGGGAGGAGCTGGAGCTGCTGCAGAGAGCCCAGAGGAGGCTCCAGGATGGGCAGAGGGATGGAGCAGCTCTGCTGGCAGGAAAGGCTGGCACAGCTGGCATTGCTCACCTGCACAGGAGAAGCTTTGGGCTGAGCTCAGGGTGGCCTTGCAGGGCCTGGAGGAGCCCCAGGAAAGCTGGAGAGAGACAATGGCCAGGGGATGCAGGGACAGCACACAGGGAATGGCTCCACACTGAAAAATTACAGGTTTAGATCAGACATCAGGAACAATTTCCTCCCTGGCAGGCTGGGGAAGGGCTGGGATGGAATTCCACCCCTGGATCCCTGGCAGTGCCCAAGGCCAGGCTGGACACTGGGGCTGGGAGGGGACAGTGGGAGGTGTCCCTGCACTGGGTGATTTTAGGGTCCCTTCCATGCCCAATTAAGGTTTGCATCTCCTTTCTCTCCCTGGGAGATTCCTGCTAAAAATCCCTGTTGTATCCCTGGTGTAGAGCTCTCCCACTGCTGCGTTTTCATTCCAGGGCCAGTTAATGAACTAAAATTAAACCTTCCACATGGAGTTAAAGTGGAAGGTAAAAACAAAGCTAACAAACTGATTGACCAGAAATATCCTAATTTCAGCTTAAAAACAGAGAAAATATTCCTTTCCATACAAAAAAAAAATCAATTTAAAAGTGATATAAAGCAAGTCAAATTAAAAATGGACACAGCACTGAGAAACTGAAATAGATAACTAAACAAAAGGCTAATAATTTATAATTTTATAATGCACAGAATGATGTGAAAGTGAGACACAGACAGTATTTACCCCTCTGGAGCCATTCCTAAAGGGAATACTTCAGCTCTGCCAAAGCCACTCTCTGGATAATCTGACAATTCCAGGACAGATGCTGCACACCCTTCCTTTCACATCCAGTTTTCCAGGATTAAAATCATTCAATAAATGGAATTTCGCTGGATGGAAAGGATTTTTATAGTACAAGTGCAAGAAAAAAGAGAGACCTGAACATTGCTGCTGAGCAGCTCGGGATTTCTGGGTAAAAACCGATAAAAATTAAAAATATTCCTTCCCTTTCAAGCCCCATCGGGCTCTGCAGAGCGGGTCAGGGGCATCCCGTGATTCCGGGAATGGGGAAGGACAAAAAGCAGCGCTCGGTCCCAAAGGCAACGCCGGAATCCCGGGGAGACACCGGGAAACGCCCGGGAGCCGGGAGAGCTGCAGGGAATGCAGGGGGAAAGGACACACGGACAGGGACACACGGACGGGGACACGGGACAGCTCCGGGACACACGGACGGGGACACACGGACACCGGGACAGCTCCGGGACACACGGACACGGGGGAAACTCCGGGACACATGGACAGGCAAAGCTCCGGGACTCGCACGGAGAAAATTGCGGGACACACGGACAGGGACACGGGAAAGCGCCGGGACACAGCGACACAAGGACAGGGAAAGCTCCGGCACACACGGACCGGGACACACGGACACCGGGACAGCTCCGAGACTCGCACGGAGAAAGGTCCGGGACACACGGACAGGGACACCGGGAAAGCTCCAGGACACACACCGGGAAAGCTCCAGGACACACGGACAGGGAAAGCTCCAGGACACACGGACAGGGAAAACTCCGGGACACACGGACAGGGAAAGCTCCAGGACATACGGACAGGGACATCGGGGAAGCTTTGGGATACGGGGAGACTCCGGGACACACGGACACCGGGACAGCTCCGGGACACACGGACACGGGGGAAGCTCCGGGACACACGGACAGGGACACCGGGAAAGCGCCAGGATACGGGGAGAGCTCCGGGACACACGGACACCGGGACAGCTCCGGGACACACGGACACCGGGACAGCTCCCGGACACACGGACAGGGACACCGGGAAAGCTGCGGGACACGCAGACAGGGACACACGGACAGGGACACACGGACACCGGGACAGCTCCCGGACACACGGACAGGGACACCGGGAAAGCTGCGGGACACGCAGACAGGGACACACGGACAGGGACACACGGCCAGACGGCGACACCGCGGCAGCACCGACAGCAGAGGGCGATCGGCTCCGCCCGCCGCGGAGTCCCCGCTGCCAGGGCCGAGCCCGGAGCCCAGAGGGGACCCCAAAGTGTCCCCGACAGAGCCCGAGATGTCCCCGACAGGCTCAGGGAGCCCCGGAACAGCCGGGCTGGGAAGGGACAGCTGGGGATGGCGGAGTCACCTGGAGCAGGGACAGGAACGCGTGCAGGGGGTCTGGAATGTCCCCAGGAGGAGCCCCCAGAGCCCCTCTGGGCTCTGCTCAGGGCTGGGCACTGCCCAGGGCAGAAGTTGTGCCTCCTGTGAGGGGAATTGCTGGGCTCAGGCCCTGCCCGTGGCTCTGGGGCCATTGCTGGGCCTGGAGCAGAGCCTGGGCCTGCTCTGAGCTCTGCACACAGGGACAGCCACAGGGACAGGCACAGGGACAGCCACAGGGACAGGCACAGGGACAGCCAGGGCTGAGGCCCCTCTCAGCTGAGTCGCCTGAGCACTCCCAGCTCCCTCAGGGCTTCCTCACAGGGTTTGTGTTCCCAGCCCCTCTCCAGCCTCGTTGGCCCCTCTGGATGTGCTCAGTGTCCCAAGGTCCTTCCCAAACTGAGAGGCCAGAGCTGGGCACAGCACTACAGGTGTGCCCTCAGCAGTGCAGGGGCAGAATGAGCTCCCTGCTCCTGGGACAGCCAGGGACAGACACAGGGACAGACACAAGGACAGACACAGGGCCAGGCAGGCCCAGGCAGGGCTGAGGCCCCTCTCTCTCTCCCTGGGGCTCCTCTCCAGGCTGAGCAGCCCCAGCTCCCTCAGCCTTTCCTGGGCACGGAGCTGCTCCAGGCCCTTGCTCAGCTCCAGGAGCTCCTGGCCCTGCTGTGCTGAGGAGCCAGAGCTGGGCACAGCAGCCAGAGGTGCCCCCAGGGCTGGGCACAGGGGCAGGGTCAGCCCTAACCTGCTGGCAGTGCCCATCCTGCGCTGCCTTCCCCGGCCGCTGTTCCCCGCTGTTCCCCGCTGTCCCCACTATTCCCCGCTGTCCCCACTGTTCCCCGCTGTCCCTATCGCGACACACGCACCCCATCCCGATAGACTTTCCCGGCGCGTTTCACCCTCACGTCCAGCGTCGTCCCCATCACTCCGTCACGTGACCGCCGCCTCACGTGACCCGAGGGCGGGGGTGCGTGCAGGAGCCCCGCCCCCTCCACATCCGGGTCCTCGCCGCCGTCACTTCCCAGCCGTTGACGCCGCTTCCCGCGCGGCCGCGCCCACTGCCCCCGGTTGTCATAGCAACGCGCGGGCGGGGTGAGTGACGCAACGCAGTCACCCGCGGGGAACTACGGATCCCGGCGTGCTTTGCGCGCGGGTAGCGCCCGCTGCGGGCGGGGGCGCCGCGTGGGCTGATGGGAGTTGTAGGCGCGGCCGCCGCCGCCTCGCACTGCCCGCGAATGTCGCCTGTCGCGACTGTGGGGCGGTAACAATGGGAGCCTGAGAAAGGCTTCACTGTCCTGAAATATTTTCCTCTGAGTGCATTGCACAGCCGCAAGCACCGATATAAACGAGGAGCGAACTTGTCCCCGTTCTAATTCCACCGGGATTCATCGCTTTGCGTTCCCAAGCACGGTCCGGCCGCGGTGCCCAGAGCTCCCCCAGCCTGAATTCCGATAAATTCAGAAAGGCAAAGCTTTGAAAAACGCAGCGAGGAATGAGGAATTCCGCCTTGTAAACCTGGAGCAAGGAAATGTTCGGTGTGGAAATGCCTGAGGGCTGAGGGAAATGCGGCCATCGCTTCCAGGTGTGGCCTCAGCCGGAATTCCCGGGATTTCAGCGGAACCGGGACTCGTCCATCGCTGGAACTGCAATCCTGAAGGAAATCTCTACGGCAGGAGTCGAGTTCTAAATGTTAATGCTTTCCTAAAGCATTATTTTCACTTCATTCTTCACATGTTGTTCACTAAATTAGATTTTATTCAGATTTACGTTATTAAAATAAACATAACCTTGTCAGTGGTGGGAGTTCCTGGAGGATGGTTCTGTCCTCTTCCTGCTCAGCCCTCAGCACCCAAACCCATCCATGTCCCTTCCTCTGCTGTTCTTGTGGAAAACTTGGCAAAAAACACTGCGAGCTCCTGTTTTGGGGAAAAAAAATATTAAAGTTGTCCCACATTTCAGAGAAGACAGAAACTGGTCACTGTAAAAAGAAAGGAGCATTTAACTGGGATCACTTAATATTACTGGCAGGATTCAGGTAGCTGAGTAGCTGAGGTAGCTAATTACTGTCATTAATTAGTGTGGGGCAGATAAAGAGGGATTTTTTTTTTGTTTTACTTTTTACTCCATTCAAAGAGGGAAATAAAATCCAAAAACCCACAAAAACGACACTGAAAAAGCCCTCCAAAAATAAAAAACCCAACCAACAACAAGTAAAAACCCAGATAAAAAACCAACCAAAAACACAAATAAAAAGACACCAAAAAACCTCTCCAAAAATAAAAAGCAACAACTAAAAACCCAAATTAAAAAACCCCTAAAAACACAAATAAAAATACACCAAATAAACCCTCCAAAAATAAAAACCCAACCAACAACAACCAAAAACCCGAATAGGCAAAACAACAAAAAAAACCCAACAAGCCAACCAAACAAAAAGCAAAGAAGCACGGCTGTTTCTGAGTGTGAAGGTTCGTTTTGCCATCCCTTTCACAATCAGCTGTTTTTCTTGGGAAACTTTTTCCAAGGTACTTGAGTTACTCATTTCTAGGAACTGGAGCCCCGTGTCCCGGACAAGCTCCTGTTGGAGCAGCAGGAGCTGCCCCTGTGCCTGGCAACAGCGATCCCACAAACAAACCCGGGAGCACACAGGGAGCCCGTGTGCCAACCCAGGGACACCGAGAGCTCAGCACCCCCTGCGTGCGTCATCTGCAGAAAGAATTCCAGAGTGGTTTGGGTGGGAAGGGACTTAAAAATCACCCAGTGCCACCCCAGCCATGGCAGGGACACCTCCCACTGTCCCCAGTGTCCAGCCTGGCCTTGGGCACTGCCAGGGATGCAGGGATGGAATTCCATCCCAGCCCTGCCCACCCTGCCAGGGAACAATTCCTCATTGCCAGGATCCCACCCAGCCCTGCCCTGTGGCAGTTTAAACCATTCCCCCTTGTCCTGTCACTCTTTGTCCATATAAAAAATCCCTCTTCCTCCTTTTTAAAACCTCCTTTGGACACTGGAAGGGGCTCTGAGCTCAGCCCAAAGCTTCTCCTGTGCAGGTGAGCAATGCCAGCTGTGCCAGCCTTTCCTGCCAGCAGAGCTGCTCCAGCCCTCTGCCCATCCTGGAGCCTCCTCTGGGCTCTCTGCAGCAGCTCCAGCTCCTCCCTGCGCTGGGGCAGCTCTGCAGGTGCGGGAAATAAAATTATTAAAAAAAACAAAACAAAACAAAACCACCCCCAAAACCCACAGAAACAAACCAACAAACAAGAAAACACACCAAAGAAACCCTCCAAAAATAAAAGCCCCAACCAACAACAACTAAAAACCCAGATTAAAAAAACAACTAAAAACCCAGATAAAAACACACCAAAGAAACCCTCCAAAAATAAGAAACCCAACCAACAACCAAAAACCCAGATAAAAAAACAACTACAAACATAAATAAAACCACACCAAAGAAACCTTCCAAAAATAAAAAACCCAACCAACAACAAGTAAAAACTCAAATTAAAAAAAACCCTAAAAATACAAATAAAAACACACTAAAGAAACCCCTCCAAAAATAAAAACCCAACCAACAACAAAAAACGCAGATAAAAAAACAACTAAAAACACAAATAAAACCACACCAAAGAAACCCCTCCAAAAATAAAAAACACAACCAACAACAACTAAAAACTCAAATTAAAAAAACCCCTCAAAATACAAATAAAAACACACTAAAGAAACCCCTCCAAAAATAAAAACCCAATCAACAACAAAAAGCCCAGATAAAAAAAAACTAAAAACACAAATAAAACCACACCAAAGAAACCCCTCCAAAAATAAAAACCACAACCAACAACAACTAAAAACCCAGATTAAAAAAACAACTAAAAACACAAATAAAACCCCACCAAAGAAACCCTCCAAAAATAAAAAACATAACCAACAACTAAAAACTCGAATTAAAAAAAAATAAAAATACAAATAAAAACACACAAAAAACCCCCACCAAAAATAAAAACCCAACCAAAACCAACTGAAAATTCAAATAAAAAAAAAACCTAAAAATACTAATAAAAAACACACCAAAGAAACTCTCCAAAAATAAAAAAAAAACAACCAACAACTAAAAGCCCAAATTAAAAAAAACCCCTAAAAACACAAATAAAAACACACCAAAGAAATCCTCCAAAAATAAAAAACCCAACCAACAAAAACAACTAAAAACCCAAATAAGCAAAACAACAAAAAAGCAACCAACCAACCAAACAAAAACCAAAGAAACATACAAAAAACAAAACAAGAAAACCAACATTAAAAAACGTACACAAAAAAAGCCCTCTAAACCCAGAAAGCAGGAGGAGTAAAACAACTCCTTCAAGGACAGAAGTGTCCCCGTGTGGGACAGAGAAATGTCCCCATCACTGTCAGCCCAGTGCAGTGAGAGGTGAATTCCCTTCCCACCTCCAGGCTGGGGACACCAATTTTCCCCTGAGATGCTCCTTTCCCCTTTAGTTTTGATTTTCTGTAGGAATTCCCATTCCCAAACCAAGCTCAATTTGTCAGTCTCCAATTGCCCAAATTTGGGGTGGATTTTCTAAGTGGACAAATGCAGCAGCTCCTGACAATGAGAGGGCTCAGTGCCAACCATTCCAGCTTTGCTCTGATGCTCAAACTGTTTCACTGGTTTTACTGAAATCCCCCAAAATAATTCAGAAGGAAGTGGATATCCTGTAAATTTATAATTTGGATCAACCAAAAGAAGTCCTGTTGCAGGGCAGGACATTTTTGTGAGGTCATGGGGAATGGTTTTAAATGGACAGGGGCAGGGCTGGATGGGATTTTGGGAACTAAAAATCCTTCCCTGGCAGGGTGGGCAGGGCTGGGATGGAATTCCATCCCTGCATCCCTGGCAGTGCCCAAGGCCAGGCTGGACACTGGGACAGTGGGAGGTGGAGTGGATTTTGGAATGGGGTTTAAGGTCCCTTCAACTCTGGGATTCTGTGATGAGGAGCTCTGGATTAATGAAGAAATGTTTGGCAGCTCTTGATCATTTCTCTAATTGTTCCTGCTGTTGGTTGCATTGCTGTGTTCAGCTGCAAGAGCAATATGAAATAAATAAAATATTCTGGTTATTCCCGAGTCTATCACAAAGAACCAACCAGGAGGGCACAGATTTTGCTGAAATCCATTTTGGATGGAACTCCACTCGTGGAGTCAACCAGACCCAAACTTGACTTGGATCTTCATTTGTTGTTTTCAAGTTTGGTGAGCCAGAACTGAATAAAAGAACTCCAGTAACAAATGAACCTGAACTGAAAGCCAAGGGAAAATCTGAATGAACTCAGAACCATCCAAACATTTGTTTTTTATTCCTGGTTATCACAGAATCCTCAAGGAATGGTTTGGGTTGGGAGGGACTTTAAACATCATCCAGTTCCAAACCCTTCCACTTTTCTACCTGGTTATTTCTGAGGGATCATTTAACAAACAGATTTAAATGATTTAGAATAATTCCATTTCTGCATTTGCCTCAACCCAGAGCTGACAGGTATGGATTAATTGGTTTGGAATGACAGCATTCCCCATTTGGGATATCCATAGGGAAGCTGGGGTTACCCAAACCTTTTTTGGGTACCCAGAACCTGTTTTTCTGGTTTTAGGGTTTTTTTAATTAGTTTTGAAATCTTTGCTCAGAGAACAGTGGTGTAGAATCACAGAATAGTTTGGATTGGAAGGGATTTAACTTCAGGAATTCAATGGGAGAAGTTCTACAGTTTATACAAAATCATTTAAAAACTACACTTTAAGGAGCTCATGGATGATTAAATTTAATAAACAAAAATAATTTCAAATCTTGTTGATGTGTTGGACAATTTTGAGACCATTCCATGGTTTCTGTAAGCACATTTGAGAAATTGTTTTTCAGAGCACCTGGGTGGAAAAGCTGCTCTGTAACACC